CTTTATTCTTTTTTTTTTAAGGACCAAACTTTAAAATCAAAACTCCAAATTCAGTGTGTGTACTTTGAGCTGTGTGCGTAGACCCCACGTGTGGCATATTGTGTAACATTTTCCGATCTATGCATTTCCTTTTGCCCCTCCCCCTCTCCAGTCAGGAAGTGAATCGAGTCCAGTAATTACAATAAACGTGACCGTCTGTGTGTGTGTTTGAACCTCGGCCGTGTGTGTATGTGCTCTATGCGTGTACCTATGTACATATACAAAAAGGCAATATATATACAGTATATAAAACATTAATGTCACTGAAACTAGACAGTTTTAAAGAGAGAGAGACATATTAGCCAGCTGTTGCTTGACCATCTGTGTTCGTTGTCCATTTGATTTCAATAGAAATAAAACCTCGATGAAAATCTTCCTCCTGTCGTTCTTCCACACCATCTCTCTTTTTGTTGGTTGGTCGGAGAATGTGACGGCACTCAGTCCACCTTCACACCGTGCGCGTCCTGGAGAGATGGTGATTTTTAAACGCATCTTTTATCGAAGCTTTAAAAACATCTGTCCCCTGAAGGAGCGCCCGCTGGAGGTTTCCACGTCAGAATCCACAGGACTACTCGGTAAGAGTTTAATTTAAAGTAAATGAACAGAGCAAAAAGATGAAGCAGCAAACTCCTCTGACTGCACTGATGTTGGTCGAGGACTGAAGCATGTGCTGCTTCACCTCTTCACACTGTGAGCACCTTTTATTTCTGACCACTCGTTCTAAAGAGACGGTTTTTGCGTTCTTCTCGGCCAAAGGACTACTTTTGTGATTTTTTTTTTTTTTTTTGTGCAAGTATCTCCCGAGTGGCCGCAGTTTCTCACCATCCTGACATATTCAGGTGAAGTTAGAACATCATTTCTGAGACAATATTCTGGTTAGTTTAGACGTTACACTCTTATTAGTTAAGATGAAAATCACTCTGATGACAATGTTTGTGTACGGTTTATTGTGGACTTTACACCAAAACGTACATGAAGCTGATGCAACAGGCCACTTGTCTGTGGTAACCAAAGACTAAAAATTACTGGACGAAGTCTGAGTGACATCACCCGTCTGTTCATGCAGGGGGCGCTGGAGTCCCATCGATGGCGGTCTCCATGCTGGAAATGCTGTCTCATCCTAACTTTCAGTCAACCTAACGACAGGCTGAGAGCTGGAGCTGAGGCGGGTTTTAAACCTCCTGACAAACCGTTAGACCGCGCCCACCTGTCAATCAGGTCAGCTACACGCCTTATTGTCATTCCATCGATTGTCACACTGTGACATTCATTCATTTTTCAACACTGGAGGTTTGCCACTTGGTGTAAGCATCGAAAGTGATTAGCAAGAGTGCAGGAGATGGTTTGGGTTGCTTGGCAACAGCTCATTATCAGTTAAGATGTGAAACTACACGTAGTTGAGTTGGTGTTACGCAGAGCCAACAGGGGAAACCAGTCGTAGCATAAATGTTACCCTCCCCATACTCCCTCCCAATGATGAGACAAAAAACAAACAGTCCACAATAATTTATTTATTTTTCACTTCACACAAAACACTTAAAGTTCAGGGGGAGCAGCGGCCCAAAATAGTATACAAAAATTCTTCATCCAAAGAAAAACCCAAACTATCTTACCTCAAAAATAAAACAGAAAAGAAATTACAGACCGCTTACCTCCTACCCTGACGGAGAAACAAGAAAAAAGATTCAGCCAAAGAAAACCAATACTCTCCCCTACAACCGAACCAGGACCGCTTAAAGACATCAGAATTATTAACCTCTTAACACTACACTCAAATCAGTCTGCCTGACGCCGACATTCAACAATCTCTCTCTGCACGACGGCCTCGTTGGCAGGGAGGACGAGGGAGGCAATGTTTCATCCTCCACAGCTCCCTTTTAAAACCTGCATCCTCTGCTCTCCAACCACACACAGGCACGCAGCACCAGCTCCTGTCCAATCAACTGCTGGCGCACACTGTCAGCCTTTGTCCAATCACTGGCGGGTACCTGCAGCATGGCACACAGACAGACGCACCAACGAGGAAACGGCACAAATCCCCACAGAGGCAGATCAAGCTAATAAACACACGTCACATTACACAAACATGACTGTGGAGCTAACAATATGCGTCTTTATGTGGATTACATAACTACTATAACAAAGTAATATCACACTCCTTTGTCTGAGTTGCTATGAGCGAATCACAGCAGTGCTCTCTCTCCCTCTTGTGCAGGGGCGTGTCCAGAGGGAAGGCCAGGGAGGCATGCCCCCTCCCCCCCTCATGAAATCTGATTGGCCACCCCGAAATCCAAATCTATGATTGGCTATTTTTCTAGTCAGTCAGGGACTTAAGTACACATCAACTATTCTGGCTGATCTCAACAGGCTGAAGTACTTTCAGGTGTGAATAAATATTTTGCTCTTTCTATAAAAATATCCAAGGAGACACATCGTCTAACATTGAAATGGACATAAATTCCAATAAATTAATATTTCTAAGTTTGACAGCGTGCAAGAGTTTGCATGCAATTTTCTAAATATTTGAAATTGTGACTTTACCCATCTTTGATTTTGAGTCCCTAAAGAATCAAGTTAAGAATATTTATATGTTGCCAAATTGTATAATGTGCTTATCATTAGGGTCTGGAAGTTCCTGGTTTGAATCCTCGTCTGACAGGAGTCTCTCTGTGTGGAGTCTGCATGTTCTCCCCGTGCATGTGTGGGTTCTCTCCGGGTACTCCGGCTTCCTCCCACAGTCCAAAGACATGCTCGTTACGTTAACTGCTGACTCTAAATTGTCCGTAGGTGTGAGTGTGTCTGGTTGTCTATATGTCAGCCCTGTGATTGGCTGGTGAACAGTCCAGGGTGTAACACCGCTCCAGCTCCAGCCCCTTTGCGACCCCAAACAGGAAAAAGCGGTATAGATAATGGATGGATGGACATATCATTAGTGGGGATATAAAGGGTAGAAAAACCCCAGTTGAAAAAGTCTGGACACGCCCCCGCTCAACGGTCGTATTTCAAGTCTTGCCACAAAGGTTTTAGGGACAGGAATGACTAACCTTCATCTTAAAGCCCACTCCCCATCACCTTCAAAATATAAATTAAAATACAAATAGGAAATGTACCAACACGATTTATAGCTAGCATTAGTAAGTGTCCTCCCTCGTCGCGTCACACACAGAGTGAGATCTGGCCCACACAATCCAAACCATTTCAACGAGCTGTATCACAAACTGTTAAAAAGGTGCCAACATCAGGTCAGATGTATAAAGTGCTGCCTTCAGGTGCTCCTCGGAAAACATCGTACTTACCAGTTGTGCAGTCGTAACGACAACATGCACGCGTTTAAGTTATCTCGCAGAATGCGACTGAGCTTCAAGTAAACGTTATCAATGTTAACATTCTCACCTGGCATGATTTAGAGCAGGGGTGGGCAACTGGCGACCCGGTGGCCACATGCGGCCCCCATCAACCCTCAACGTGGCCCTAAGGTAAATTTTTAGAAGAACACATGACAAATACTGCCATAAATCATGAAACCAGAAATATGTCCATAATAATATAAGATCAGTGGTATATGTTGAGTTAAATTGAGACATAATTGATTGTTATCGTTTTTGTATGCTACAATTTGGCCCCCTGGCAGTGAGAATTATATGAATGTGGCCCTTGCTGTGACCAAAGTTGCCCATCCCTGCTTTAGAGTTTCCCTTCTTTCTACAGCTCATAGATGCACCAACTGAAATGTGCAACTACTAAAATAAATGATAGCTGCTATGAACAATATATAAATATATATATCTATATATATATATATATATATATATATATATATATATATATATATATATATATATTTTTTTTTTTTACCATCTATTGTTGACTCTCTGTCTGAGCTTTAATGACGTGCAAACGTCACAACTCAACTCGGCTAACTTTGAAATTTCCCGCTCGTAGATAATGACGACTTTGGAGGGCTGTTCATGAGCTCATAACGCAATAATACAGTAAACACGGGGGCGCCGGTAGCCTAGCAGGAGCCCTATGTGCGGGACGCTAGTTCGAGTCTAACCAAGCCTGCCCAATGAAATGGCTGGGCTCCTTACAGGCAGAGTGAGTGGACCCTCTGTAGCGATCAGTAGCGATAGCCTCCTGGCTAACAGTCATGTCCTCGGCCTCGATCCAATCAGCCTTTAGAGCCGACTGAAAAAAGTTTGTTATAAAGTTCTTGTTTTGGGGTCAAATGGGGTCAAATGTCCATGCCCAATTTATTTACTGCAGGTCCTGGTGTGGGTTTACAAAGTCGGACATTACTGATCTAACATTTAGGTCCAATGAGCCCGCCCATGACGTTAACTTTCCCCTTTTCCCCCCGTAAGGGCGGACTTGGTCCTCCTTTCCCGATGTCATTCCCCACTCTCTCTCTCTCTCTCTCTCTCTCTCTCTTTCTCTCTCTCTCGCCCTGATTTCCGACTCCACCCCCTGTCCTGTCTCTTTAATAAAGACATAGAAACCCCAAAAATAAACATTTAAAGAAAAATAATGAGAACTGTAAATACGATCTTTCCGAGGAGTGCATGAAGGCAGCGTTTGATTCTTACAGCTGTAAGAAGGGGAATTCTTGTGGACACCACAAAAGACATTCTATACGACTGTAACAGGGACAGCTGGTATAAACGAGCGAGAAGGAATAAGCCCCTCCCTTTCTTTAACAATAAAGATGATGCTTCAAATATACGGAGCCCCTCAAGAGGAAAACATTTTAAAGAATACGTTTCTGGTGCTCACGAGAAAATGCAGACGCAAAATGTTCTGGTGAGCGCCCAAAAGAAGGTATCTGGTCCTGATGTCCCCTTAGGGTCTTCGTACAAATAACGTACAAGCGATTCACTTTAATTTTGGACGAACCAACAACCGAACTTTAAAGTCACATAAAAACAAAACGTAATATCTCTAAATGGGCTTTTTAAAAAAAAAATTGATTTGTTTACAGCCCAGGCATCGAAGCATCCTCCTCCATTCACTTCTGTGGTTTAAATGAGCGACAGGTGTCATGGCCGCCCCCTTGATTGGCGTATCATTTGGGGTAAATTCATTTAGAAGCTAAGAAGCTAAGTCCACACGTAGGCGGGTATTTTTTAAACATTTATTTTTCTGCATTTTTTGACCTCTCGTACACAAACGGCGTTATAGGTCACTGAAGACACTCTTTTAGGAAAATTCCTTCCAGAGTGAAGATGTTCAGAGACTCTTTTTTTTTTTAAGGTGTTTCTGTGTAGACGGAGAAAACAGAGTTTAGTTCTTGTAACGCCACACTGTGTGCCGGTTTCACCTCTGTGGGATGTCATCGTGCAACGCTGTCTCTTTAGTTTAAATGAGATTCGTGCGATGGCCGACGTAACCAAACTAGCGCTTGAGATAACGATGCTAACTGGACTTTTTAAAAGCTCACACACACACACACACACACACACACACACACACACACACACACAGTTACTCTCCCGCTATGTTGACGAGTAAAGACGCCTAAATGGACGACTTTTTAAAATGAAACGGTCTTTGCAGAGGGATGGCAAGAAAATGGTCGCATGTCAAGGATGAAGGTGTTTTAGAGAATTAGGTGTGTGTGGACGTGATTATATTTTTAGACGGAGGAGGAAACCTCTGTTTTAAAAAAATACCCTCCTGCGTGTGGACGAGGCCGAAGCATCTCTTAACTCCTCTTGACCTGATTTACTAAAAAATTGTTAAGAGATCGTTTCTAACGTTCAAATCACCATGACTGTGATCCTGATTCTGTTAGACCAAGAAAAGCAACTTCCATTACGTGTTAGCATCAAGCTAACAAGCTAAGATGTGTGAGATCTGGAGAATAACGCACAAACTGCCACAGAGTTGTTCCTGCTTTAAAATATTGAGCGCGTGGCGCCGTCATGATAGTTTCCCTTAGACATGCTTATGTATCTGAGCACTGCAGGGTCTTTTTTTCTAAAAAGCTGTGCAGTCCTCTTGTACGTAGCTCTGTTTAGGAAATGAGGACTTAAAATCTTCAATATATCCTCCTTGTTGCATAGTCTAACACCATGCTGGCTGCTCCGAGTAAAGCGGGCTCCTCCAAGTGAGAGACGACCACCTTGATGTTCTGGGCCGAGACGAGGGCTTTCTCCAAGATGATGTTCTGCACCGGGGCCTGGTAGTAAGAGGCCAAGATCCCTGACAGAATCACCATAGAGGGGTTCATCATGTGGAGGATGTTCACGATGCCCATACCCAACGCTGTGGAGGCTGGAGAGAGGAAGAGGAAGACGGGGAGAAGTTAGATTTGCTCCTGTTTTAATAGCAAAAGTAGACACATTCCACTTCCGTAAGTTCAGTGTGTGTGTGTGTGTGTGTGTGTTCTCACCTTTGTTGAGAACAGCCTCAGCTTTGGAGTTCCCCTGTTTAGCAGCACTGAACAGGTGAAGAGCCGTGATTGGCTCAGCCAGCTTCAAATCCCTCCCCTCCACCTTCAGCTGCTCCTCTGACAGACACACACGATAAGAACAGATTAATTATTAATGAGACCTTTGGTATGAAAATAAAGGTTAGAGATTTGGAGAGGGAGGGGGGGCGGTTGAAGCATAGTGCCTGATGCTATGATGGGAGTTTTTTGCCCCGCCCATTTGCTCAAGGTGAATCATCTTCTGCATTCACAGCTCATCCTGATTAGTGCAGAGTGGCAGCAAAAACTCAGAGTGAAGTCGGGGTCAAACATGGAACACACAAGTGCAGCTCACGTGTGAAAAACACTGTAATAGATGTTTTTCTTTCTCGCTCCCTCAGGACTTTTTCACACTTCACCTACTGCACGCTCCAAACATGTCCTTTCTCCCCGGCAAGGTCGACCCGCCTCCCCCCATGTTACTTTGATCCAGACTGTCACCACCTTTGGCCCCTTTTTCTTGGCAGCCTTGGTTTTTTTCTTTTTCATGCAGACTCGTCTTTCCTCTCATGCAAACCAGAGATTCACATTGTTCTCAGAAAGGGTAAATGGACTTCAGCTTGTTCATTCCTTTTCTAGTCTTCTGACAACTCAAAGCTCTTTTACACCGCAGGTCACACCTACACATTCACACACTGATGGTAGAGGCTGCTGTGTGAAGAGTCCATCAGTATTTACTCATCCATTCATACACCGCCAACGAAGCAGAAGGAGCAACTTGGGGTTAAGTGTCTTGCCAGAGGACACATCGGACATGGGGCTGCAGGAGCTGGGGATCGAACCCCCGACCTTCCAGTTAGGAGACAACCAGGGCCGACCCAAAAGGATGTAACATATCTCTTAAGCCCCTTTTTAAAGTTTTAAAATCTGACCTGATTTTGAAATCTGGTAGCATCACACACATCAGGAGAATCTAAACCGATATTCTTCTCTATGGCGTCATCATGCCATCATTTCATCACAGACTACAGGACTTCATTAAGATTATCATGAAGGAGTGCATCACCTCATGTGGCCTCAAGAAAAACAAAACAAAAGTTTGGGTCAAGAAAAGTCTGGAGGGATGTGGACAACATGGATTCTTCAGCGAGAGCTGGAGGTCAGACTTTAAATGTCAGATGTATCTCAGACGTCCAGCGAACCTGTACCGGTTGCCATTTGCCGCCAGTCACCATAACTACTGTCCTCCATGTTCTCTCAGGTTTTTGTAGTCACACACAACTTCCCTCAAACCCTTTAATGATGTTTAACGGTTACAATTTTTAAATACTAAATATCCAACATGTTTGATAAAAATCAGGGCGGCCTCGATGCTCTCTGAGCAGATCGAGGACGTAAATATTGGATCTTTTTTTTTTTTGTGCCTTTATTTGAGAGATAAGATGATAGAGTCGCAAATCAGAGAGAGAGAGAGAGAGAGAGTGGGGAACGACATGCGGGAAAGGAGCTGGGCTCGAACCTGGGCCGCCCGCCTGGAGGCCTACAGCCTCCATACATGTGGCGTGCGCACTGACCACTGTGCCACCAGCGCCCCTTTAATATTGGATCTTTATACCGCTCACACTACAAAAATATTTTTGGGAAGATAATCAATTCCGAGCAGCCTCGAGTCGGGAACACCCCGTAACTGTTTGAAAGGGGAAATCAAACTCAAATCAGCCCCATTGTCCTGCAGTCTGAGTCAGGCTTTAGACTCAATACATGATATATAAAAACACAGTAGTGCTGATTGTTCCCAGAACACATTCTCCCACTACATTGGTAAAATCTTAAATCAGGGATAGTCTTGATAAAAACAGACGTCTCACCATCGTGCAGCCTTTTGGCCTCTCTCTGCAGAGCCATGCTGGACGCGAAGGCCTCCACACATCCTCTGCTGCCACAGGAACATTCGGGGCCGTCCAGTGAGACCACGATGTGACCCAGCTCTGCAGCGCAGAACGTACTGCCGTGGACCAGCTCGTTCTGATGGATGATCCCTCCTCCAATACCTGCACACACACAGAAAGCAGATACTCAGACACTTCTCAGACCGTCAGAGCAAATACAAAAGTGCTTCATGAGTAACTGAAAGAAGTCAGGACACTCTGCTTCTCAGTGCCTTCCAAATAAGGTCACGATTAAAGCCACTTTCAGAATGAACTCCACTGCAGATGAAAGACTAAATAACTGGATCAATGAAATCCCTCACCTGTTCCTGTGATGACGGTGACAAAGTTCTCCACCCCCTTGCCTTGACCAAACTTCTTCTCAGCCAGAGCGGCACAGTTGCCGTCGTTGTCGACCCAGACAGGAAGGTGCAGAGCGTCTGAGATGGGTGTTCTCAGGTCCACCGAGGACCACTCCTGGATCAGCTTGGTGGAGTGAAGCACTACGCCCTCCTGTGGGTTCACCCGCCCGCCTGTGGACACACCTGAAGAAGTAGAGGAAGAGCTTTTAGATTACAGCTTCACCATGCGTTTGTTATTTGAATGTGAGCGTGAGTTTCTCTTTTCTTACCAACACCCAGTAATCTACAGTTGAGGCCGACAGCGTCTCGAGTGGCATCTGCACAGAGCTTTAATAAGAGCTTCATCCTGGCCTGGAAGGTCTTTGGATTGGGCTGCACGTACTTTTTCAAGATCTTACCCTGAACAGAGAGGGAGGAAGTGAGGGGATCATCATCACACAGAGGGGCGCAGTGGGACTCCAACGTTAATTTAAGGACTGACAACAACCGCACATTCATTAATTATGACTTTTGTTTTACAGCTTCAATGAGAAACTCTTGAAAAGGAAACGAGGATCTGATGTCTTTACTCTCGGGGGTGGGGGGGGGGCAGCTTGAGGATACATTTTGGTGCTCTTAAAGCCGTCTTTGCAGATTACCTTCTGACAGACGATGGCCACTCTGAGGTTGGTCCCTCCCAGGTCGACAGCCAGAGCCGTCTGCGTCTCCAGGATGTGGTCGATGTCCTGGGAGATGGATTCTTTCACGGGGGGGAAACAGAACGTCTTCTGGAGGGGCTCGTCCAGGTTGATGGTTCGCAAAAACTTCAGAATCCGAGACACTGAGTTGCCGTCACCATAAACTTTGGAGCTGATGGGAAACACAAACACACTCTGGTTTATTTTGTTCTTCGACTTTTTTTAAAAAAGAAAAGAAAATTATGCCAAAAAGTTAAGCAATATTTGATCCCATGCCGATGGTACGATTGTGCAATTGGACGATTATTTTCCAAAACAAAACAAGGTGGTACAAACCCGGACCAACCAGCTGAACAGGATTATAGAAGTGCATAAAGTACTGACTCGCTGATTATCTTTAATTTTAAATGGTGATATACATTCTTCACCCGTTACTTAATAATGTCCAGTTGTTTAAAGATTTATTTGAGACTTATTTGAGATTGGACAGTGCATGAAGAGGAAATGCAGAATGCTGCAGGGCTGCCAGAGGAGGGCTGCTCTCCAGAGCTGGGAGAAGAGAGTGTATGTTAGAGGTTTGAGCGGCTCACGGCAAGGCTTGAAAACCTTATCGTAAAGTTCTTGGTTTCATATCGGGGGAACTAGCCACTTAGCGCCTTCTGCAGACTCATCCTGGTATTACACCAAGGTTTACGTCATGATCTGAAACTTTGCCAACGTGAGAATGCTCTAGAGAGGATAAAAAGGATAAAGACAGAGGCAGCACACAGGTCTTACCAGGGGTATCTCTTTCCAAACTGCAGCTCCAGAGCGTGGTAGATCTTATTCTGAGAGTCGGCATCTCTCACATGAAGAACATTTTCACCTGGCACAGAGGGAAATGTCATGAACACAGGAATAATGCATGCTTTATAATAAAGATAAATTATTAATAAATGTTCATCACAAGGAAATAGATTTTAACAAATTCACAGCATTCTGGGAATTTTCCTTCATAACCAGGAAAGTTTGGTTTTATTTGATGTTTTCACCATTTGTTCATGTTGTATTTATCTTTAACATTATTTCTGGTTAACATTTGGAGGTATGCATGTAAGGGGCCCGTGGCATTTTTACAAACACCCTCTATATGGGTTACATACTGAGTCTGATGTCTCTATGAGAACGTCACCCACAACATTTTAATGAGTCGCTAAAGATAAAAGATCAACATTTATAAAAGTTGTAAAAAAGTTTAAAGTTTAGTAAAAGTATAACTTATGCTACCATGAATGATGTCGTTTAAACTTTTAGTCCGATTATTTTTGTCCCATGGGGCACCCTTTCATATCAGGACTTCCTGGACTACTTTTATTTTGTATTATCACCTGCCAAACTTAAGAGAACACTTAAGATTACTCATCAGAGCCTTGCCGCACTCTCTCCATCCATCGTAAATCAAAGTAATGACCTGTCAAGTTTACTTTCTGACGTGGGCGAGCCTTAAAGACCTTTGACTCTAAAAGAAACAGCTTCATAAATATATAAAGAAGAGAGACAACAGGAGTGCTTCTGGTATCCCTCAAACCCCGGTGCTCATGGAAGAGGAGACTTTTAAAAAGTGGAGGAAAACTTGAGACCAAAAGCATAAATGATCCAGGTCCAGGACTCAGAACATAAAAGTCCTTTAACTCATAGGGCTAGAAAGATTTAAAATACACTAACTCTGGTGACACCTGTGGTTACTGCAGAGAGTTTCACCTGTCGATAAGGAGCTGCAGAATTTTCCCGATCGCTTCCTGGTACGTTTCAGGATGTCAGTGGTCCAGTTTGATACACTGCGCTATACTGGAACCACAGATTAAAAAGAAGAACACCAATTTCTGCAAAGCAATTGATCCTCAACAGCAGCTGGCAGTATGTTGGAGGTAGGGACACTGAAGAAATACACACATGCACGCACGCACGCACACACACACACACACACACACACACACACGCACACACACGCACACACACACACACACACACACATACACACACCGGGATGGATGCGAAAAAACATGAAATCAAAGCCGTTTATGACGGGACGAGTCAGCGTACTAACATGTTTGGCACAACGTGAGATTGTATTTTATTTTTTATTTTTTTAAATGTGCCGACGACAGAGACTTGACTGTGTGCAAAGAGCTTTCCTCAAGACGACAGATCTACTCTAAATCTCTCAGATGTTCTGCTCCATGTTATAAATCTTAAACTCTTTATGGATCATTTTGAGGAGGAATGCTCACACTGATTTTTGCAGGTGTTGAAAGAGTCTTTGCACCTTCTCTAAAATCTAGCACAGCATAACTGACATTGTTCATTTCCAACCCAAGCGGCATATTTCCCCCGTTTGCACCCCGGCCTGCTCACAATGATCCAAACATGTCCTATCTCCCCGGCAAGGACGACCTGCCTCCCTTAACAGTTGAATGATACCAACTCTCCAGGTTGTGGAGGTTTAATGAAGCAACTAGGCTCATGTTTTCATGTGCTATTTTGAAGCAGACTGTAGCCTTGGTTTTGCCCTTTGATGGTGCAGGCTTGCCAAATCCACTCAAATAGTCAATCATCCCATTTGCACTTTAGAACAGATTTGGCACCATTCATCAATGATGTTTCAAAAAGTCTGATTAAGTTTACAAAGAACCTAACTCAAACACACACATTCAATCTTTTCATTTCCTTTTGCTTTGTCAGTTAGAAAATCAGGACTACGACTATGGCATTGGCAGTAACTACAGATGTGTTTTTTCTGTCACACCTACCCGTTTCTCTGCCAGTTTGTCGTGACCCCAGGTTGATGACAGGTGTGCCAAAGGCCCCGGCCTCTCGTACCCCGCAGCTGCTGTTTCCGATCATGCAGCCGGCGTGGCACACCAGCTGGATGAACTGCTCGAAGGGAATGTGCTTCACTGCCCGAAAGTTTGGGTGCTTCTCGATGCCCTTCTTTCGCATCACGCGCACCATCCCCTTACTTCCTGTTTTCATAAAAAAAAACGCCAGGACACAGATGCATCGATAAAGTTTCAAGCAAACCAAAGTCTAGCATCCGGCAGGCAGAGTCAGTGGCATCTTTTAAATCACTTCTTAAAACTCACTTTTATAGACTTACTTTTATGTGATTTCTCCTTTAAAGATCTATCCCTTTCTTTTATTGATTTTATTTATTTTAACCTTTTCATCTTTCTCTTCTTTAAACATTTTAGCCTTTAAATGTATCCCTTCCTGTATTCATTTTACTGCTCTTAGTCTTTTTAAATTCCTACTCCTTTTATCCTTTAACTCTTCAGCTCTCTGTTGCTTTATTCATTTAACCAATCTCCTGTTTATCCCTTCTTTTTATCTTCATTCTGTGTTTACAGCCTGTGATGTGATGTCGTCCCACTCTCCCTCAATTTTAATTTTGTTCTCTCCTGGTTGATTCTAAACTAATTTTCCTTCATTGTATTGAACTGTGTCTCCATTCCTGCCTGTTGAATCTTTATTATTCCTGTTATTTGCATTTATACAACTTTGCCCTCTCTGTTTGGCCCCTCTGTTGATCTCTGTTCTGTTGTCGTGTTGCTGTATTTGCTTTGTCTGTCACAGCACTGTAAACATTTGTTTTTAAAGGTGCTATATAAATAAAGCTATTATTATTATTATTATTATCCCAAAATGTCTTAACCTTTGTGATTCTAGAAAACAGAAAGACACTGATGAAGCAGCAAGGGTACAAACCTGCATCAATGTTGGGGAAGAGGATGAGGGTCTTTTTGTTAAAGGAGATCAGAGCGTCCAGCATCAGACCATAGATCTTGATGGAGTGCTGGATGTCAGTGGTAACTGGATGCTGTAAAGCCACTATGTAGTCATGATCCTGCACGTTGTCCCCTGCAACATGAACACAGTTAACACAGGTATAACTCAAATGTCTCACATGATGTTTCTTTGTCTCCACGTACCCAGCCAGCTCTTGATCACATCCATGTAGTCCTCTCGACGACTAGTGGACAGCAGCTTGTCATATGAAGGGCAGCCGGCCAGCAGGATGCGAGAGTGGTCCTCACACATGGCGATGAGGTGCTGCTCTGCCGTGCGTGTGCAGCAGGCGTGGTAATGGGCCAGTTTACTGATGGCATGGCGGATGGAGTCATCGATCGTACCGCTCACCTGGAAGAAAGAGCAACGGAGGAAAGTTTGTTAAAAAAAAAGTAGAGTCAAGATTTTATAAACATCTATATCATCTACATTTCATCTACAGAGAGATATCCCCCTGTACACTGTAAAAAGTACAACACTATAGTTATGATATATCACTAAGTCAACCATCTCATGTACGAGCGCTGCCTCCTCACCTCTCCTCCCTCCAGGTGAAGTATTCTAATGTTCATCAGCGCTGCAGCGGTTGCCAGAGCCAGCGCGTCAAAGCGGTCGCCGTGGACGACCAGGATGTCAGGGCGCAGCCTCTGTAGGACATCAGGGAGTTTGACAAGTGCCAGACCAACGCTCTCCACCATGGCTGCCTCATCCTCTCCTCTCACAATGGTGTGAAGCTTGGAGCTGATGTCAAAGTCATCCTGCTCGATCATACGAATCGTGCTGCTGCAGATGTTGAATAAATTGTAGTTTGCACTATTAATGCAGACCCAGTGTGCAGTGCCAACCATACAGTGCTTCACTGTTCTGCAACAAGCTTTAAGGAGGATGCTACTGTGCCCGCTGGTCTTACCCGTAGTCATCGATGAGGTGAGAGCCGAGCACCACGACTTCCAGTTCAAACTCGTCGGGGTGGGATTTGATCCCACACATGATGGGTGCCAGCTTGGAGTAGTCGGCTCTGTTGCATGTGGCCACACACACCCTCAACTTCCTCTGACACTTCATCAAACAGAGGTGTAACCATCACACACACACACACACACACACACACACACACACACACACACACACACACACACAGATCATTTGTTGGTTTTAATTTTTTAGCTCAGCACATAAAAACACTCTCCTCTTCCCTCTGTAGGAATATTAACTTCTCCACACGACTCTGGGCTTTAACTACAGGCTTCTTAAAAATGTTTTTGATTTCCACAAGTATCTTAAGACACTCAGTCCTACCTCATTCTGCTCATCCATGTTCTTCCTCTCCATCCTGTCTCTGCTTCTTTGCATTCTCAGATAGTAGAGCTCCTGCAAAACAAGGGAGGAAAACACAGAGTGAGATCCAGAGACGTTTTTTGAAGAGCTTTTTAAGATCCTTTTATTTCAGTACAAACCCGCTCACAGGTCATACTCACTTGGGCCTTCCAATCATTCAGATGCTGTTGCATGAAAACACAACAAAGCTACACTAAAAATGGTTTGTATTCACAGGGAACAACATATACTAATGTACTCTTCAAGGACAGGAAACATGCTGCAGTGCTTTGCATGACAAGGCAAATGTCACACTCACACCTGGTTCACTCTGGTAACATGACAGAAGGAAGCTGGTCATGATCGAGGATGTTTGAGGATGTTTTAATTACCATCTGGTTTCTCCAGTTAGGGGGCCACTCCTTGGTCAAATACACGTGAAGGAACTTTTTATTATTTGCCTTGTTTCTGGCTAAATAAAGTTGCTGTCTTTCTGTGTTCTGCTGAGCAAAGACAAGCCCCAAATTCCTCACAAAGTATCTGACTATCTGATCATTGTCATTGAACCCCCCTACCTATAAACCCCCTCTATTTCAGCCCAGCTCAGAACAGGCTGTTTATGTGTCTGTACCTTTAAATATGTAAATGAGCTGTGTCTGGCCACACCCCCTCTCTGGAAGGGCTCGGGTGGCTCGGTCTTTCTCGCTCCATGACCTATTGTTTACGGTGAGAAGGCAGACTCAGAGGGCAGAACAAACACCTAGCTGTGGGAGTGTCACCCACCTGGGGGAGGGGTTACTACCCTTTGTGATGTCATGAAGGGAAAATCTCCAAACTGCCTGTTTGAGCACACATTTTCTGAAAAGTGGAGCAGGGGAAAGACAGAGTGGATGGATTTTTCTTATTATTGGGGGGTTTGTAGACAGACTAGAGACACATATTAGTGTTAGAGAAACACGGTGAAGTGGATTTAGCAGAATATGTGAGCCTTAAAGAACAAATCAATATCAGCATCCTACATGTAGAATATAACATCATCTGCATATAAAGATTTCTAATTGAATCATAAGATAAAAAAGTTGTTGGATCCTTCATAGACAATATAATTATCAAAATGTTTCTTAATATTCTGCTGATGATTCTCATCAAGCTGAGTAAGTAAGTATATCAGGTACACCGCCCAACATTTCCAGCAAAGAGCACACAAAAAGATTAATTCTTAGCAGTTTAAAATGCAAATCACTACCCTATTCTAACTTTACCATGTGACTATTTGAATTAACCTCAGACAATGGCACCTTTGGGCGGCTGAAGAGATGATTGATGCTGCCATTCACACGAGAACAGAACAAGGATTAACTTAATTTATAACAAAATTTAACATTTCAATCAGTCACTGACCCAAAAATAAAACAACTAATCCAGTAAGACTCAAGTCAACATTTGAACATTGTCTGGGACACATGAAAACTGTTTGTCATAAACAGGTTGAACCAGATTCCCAAGGACCATGAAAGCAGGAGAATGGTATGAGATCTGGGGACATTGCAGATAAAAATCAAAAACACTTTGGCAACCCTTGCATGCTTTAAAGCTGAATGTGTGACTGTGTAGGCTAAGCAGGAGCAAATATCCTGAAAGACTTTGAGATTTAAAGGATAACGACTTTTCATGTTTGAGGTGTTTGTTCAGCATCTGAAACTTTTATAAGTCTCCTTCCAAAAAGTCACCTGGTTACTAAACTGTCAAAACAAATTATGTTGCTGGTTTGAATAAGTCCCTGTTGGACCAAGTCATGTGTTAGGGACGCCTCCAACACCTCTGTGTCGGTCAAAAATAAAATAAAGGTTTGAAAACGAGTCCAGGGATTAAACTCAATGTGAAATTGCAAGAGTCTGCAGTTCATCAAGTGTCCACTTGGGGCAGGCTGCAGAATCCCCGGAAGTCCCATGATCCAAAAATATTTTTTACAGCATTAATCAACATGTTTATCAGTATAAAGAGTTTGCTTTTTTGACACACACTGTACAGAGTTCAGATTTTTATATCTTGTACATTTTTACTTCATTAAGCCAAAAAGTGTTTTATAAGTTTGCTTTATAAGTGGCTTGAGGCTCACCTCAGCTTTTTGCATGTTTCTAAGTTGATCAAAGTTTGGTTGAGTAAGCAATTCCAATAAGGCAAGCGTCATCATTAGGCTTAAAAACTCCACTTCAGAAACCTTTTAATGAGCTCACTGAGACCAGGGGTGATATGTAAATAACAGGAGGCCCACTCCAAACATTGAGAGAAGAGAGTGTAGTCAAAATTAGTAAACATAAATCAATTATATAGTGCGTTTCAGGGGGTGGTAATCTGTCAACAGTTTTGAGCATTCATTAAAAAAAGGTTCCAAGTTGGATTTTTTCATCTCTTTTTCCTGGCCGAGGGTCGCAGGCCGGATGGAAGTGAATGTAAGTCCTTAAACTTTAGCCAAGCAGGTAAACGGAGGCGTCCATATTATTTGTTTTCTCAAGTTCCCCCCTCGGATTGGACAGCTGACGCCTTCTGTCATGTTCTCGTTATTTCTGGTAAACTCTACTGACACATCACTGTTCAGGAAAGCCAACTCAATCTGCACTGTTTCACACTTGACATGCGACATTCTCAACAGTCACCTGACATCACCTCCTTCTAATTAGAGGTCTATTTAAGCTGCAGGATTTCCGTTCTCTCCTGCTCTGACCTGCACCCATACTGCACTCTTGCTCAGCCCCACCACCACTCCAGCATCCACCTGTAGACTCCGACTGGGGGGTTAAAGATATCATCCCATCACTCCTCAAACCTCCAGGCTCCTGAGGTCGGAGCCTGGACGCCAAACAAAAACTGTGTTCTGCTGCAAGAAATGTTTTAAACGATACAAATGTGAGCTCTCTGACTGAGCTACAGATGTGCAACCATCGCTCCTGCCCTTTAGCTAACGGAGTGAGCGACATCACAACAGTAGTGTCACAGACTTTAGAGATGCTAAGAAACTTTTATCATCTCCTAACTTTAGAAACTATTTCACCTAAGTTACAAAGATAGATAGATAGATAGACAGATAGATAGAAGTGAAAATTACACGTTCGCGATGCTGATTATGTTAGCCAGTTAATAGACAATTACCATTATGTGTTAGCTAACAAACTGAGATGCACATCCTGGCCCATCTGTGCAACGTTCATGTTTTTACAGGGGGTTGTTCGACATCTGTGCCTGGGTCCTTTTTTATTTCCTGGCTGTAAAAGCTATGACATTAAGCAACGAGCTGTCCAAATATTTACAGATTAAGTTGACGTCATCTCTTTAATCTACAGTGTTTATTTAAGTGGTCACTAGTGAACAGCTGCCACTTCTCACACCAGAAAAGAGTCATAAGTAGAGCTGTCAGCATTAACTAGTTAATCACGATTAACCTCATGATATTTTGTCCCTTCAGGCTCACCGTAGATAGTCATCCTCAGTGTCTCCCTGTAGTCTCAGTGATGTAAAAGAAGGACACTGCTGCATCTTTGAATGTCTCATTTCACTTTAACAAACTCTCAGACAGTTCAGCTGACGAGTCCAAAGTAATATCCATCTTATGACATCACACATTGACCTTATGACATCACACATTGACCTTTGTTACAGTTCCTTTGAGCTGTTTGACTTCAGTTTGGGATCCCTAACCACTTCCTGTTTCTGTGCTGAACTTCATGTCCTAACCTTCCATCTACCAGAAGGGCCTTTCAAAATAAAAGCAAACAGCAAGTAGAGTACTCCCAGATTAAGACAGGACAACATTTCAAAATGAATGCATAATTGAATGCAAATAGCAAGTAAAGTACTCTCAGCTTGAGACAGAATCCATTTTCAAAATAAAAGCATGGTTCAATTCAAACAGCAAGTAAAGTACTCTCATCTTAAAACAGAACACAATTTCAAAATAAAAGCATGGTTCATTTCAAACAGTAAATAAAGTACTCTCAGTTTAAGACAGAACAAAATTTCAAAATAAAATTATGGTTCAATTCAAACCGCAAGAAAAATACTGTACAGTACATCAATTCAAAACAAAAGCCTAACAATTTTTACGTGCAAAATAATAGAATTTCAAACTTTTTTTTAGGCCTACATATTCTTAGATTTGGTGGTGATCTTAGTAATGATCAAAATTCACAGAAAAGTCATGACAGTGAGGCTGCCTTAATTTTCTATGGAAAAAATAAAAATAAAAAAATAAGTCAGGTGTTGTGGACCAAAACCTGCGACTTCACCTGAATCTCATTTAACACCATTTGACTTCTACTCAAGCATCACCACACAGCATCAGCAGCCAGAGGGAATAACCCAACCACAGACGAAGACAGAGGTAGATGACAGACAGATAAACAGACACCGTGAGACAGAAAGGAAGCAAGATGAATGGATAAAGAGAATTAATGTGACTCACTTTAGCGTTTATGAATAAGAAAGCCGTACGTTTTTCTTTCCAACACTTCGCAGATTCTCATCAATCTAGCTTTAGGACAATCCTTTTTTTTTTTTTAAATCTCTTTATTGCTTTCTTTCGGCAGTGAGAGACTGGCATGCAACAGCCAGCAGGCAGGGTGGAGGAGAGAAGGAATAGAGGAGAGTAGAGTATGCATAACCATACGGCTGGAGGAGGGGAGGGGCCGTATGAGGTCACACAGTTGGGTTGGGTTGGTTAGAGGCTTGTGGTTGGTTGAATTAAAGCCATAAAAAAATCCAATGCGATGTGTTGACATCAAGACTAAAACTTTAAGTGTGTCTTCACCCACAGGTTGGAGCTGGGTGTGAAGAAACTCAGGAAATAATCTCACTGTATGCATGAAGAATAGCTGCAAGAGTTTTTAACACCACCCTCCTGATGTTGCATCCCTTCATTTTTCATATTGACAATATGAGGTAATGCAGGGCAGCAGTGGTTAGAGCTGTAGCCTCAAAGCGTGGAGGTTCCTGGTTTGAATCCCCATCTGACAGGAGCCTCTCAGTGTGGAGTCTGCATGATCTCCTCGTGCATGTGTGGGTTCTCTCCGGGTACTCCTGCTTCCTCCCACAGTCCAAAGACATGCTCGTTAGGTTAACTGGTGACTCTAAATTACCCGTAGGTGTGAATGAGTGTGGCTGGATGTCTGTGTCTATATGTCAGCTCTGGGATCGACTGGCGGCAGGAGCTCAGTCTGTAGGGACTTGGGTTGGGAACCGGAGGGTCGTCGGTTTAGGTCCCGGCACGGACCAGTTCCAGAAATTGTTCTGGTAGCTGGAGAGGTACTGCACTTCCTGAGCACTGCCGAGGTGCCTTGCCCAAACCCCAAAACTGCTCTGGAGCGCTCGCTGTGGGCAGCCCCCTCACTCTAAGACCTCTCCATTAATGCTCCATAGTTCCATAGGATCCTGTTTGTGCATGTGTGTGTATTTCAGCCTGTGTGTTCATGTTCATTAAACAGATAGTCTCTTGATTTGCCAGGTTTCACTGAGAAAAGCAATCTACTCATTACTCCTAAATTGTCAGCGACATCAAACAGGCTTTCTGGATTTTTTTCTGAAACAAAAAAATATATATATTCTGTTTCTCGCCCAATGACAGCTGGCTCCTGAACAGGAAAAGTTGTAATAATAATGGATGGATGGATGCAGTTCCCTTCCTTATCCGTACATTTTGAATAATTTGTCACTTGGATTTGTTTCCTTTTTCTTCTGTTTTGCTGCAGTTTGTAAAGTTTTCCTCCTGCTGAACCTGGAAATTAATCCAGTGAAGGTTGGAGAGAAAATGAGCTGGTGGAAGTTCACATGAAATCATCCTGCAGGACAAGATTATTATATAAAGAGAGAGAGAGCTGCATTGTGTGAAAAGAATTCAGAGGAGTTAAACAATGAATGGGAATAACCTGGGAAGAATCTGAGACAAGAGGTTTGATGAAGAGGAGGGGAAAAGTGTTTACAGAAAAGATAATCGAGGACGAACCGGTCTGACTGGATCGTTAAAGGATGACACACGATGCAGGGCGCTAATCCCAGGAGGGTTTGTTGGTGTTTAAAATCTAATAACAGGTATCTCGTGATATTAAGGTGTGGATTAGAGTATCTAATTTCAGCAAATCATCGAATGTGAAATGTTTTTTTTTCTGCTTTTAATCACCACAGCAGCACGTCTTCATGATTTAACTTGTTGCTGCTCGTCTCTAAGGACGCATCAGGACATTCTGCTTAAACAGGTTGTGAATATTTCACTGACAAGTTTCAAACTTGAATCAAGTCAAACAGGAGTGACACAATAGTGAGGTACTTATTTGATCTCTACGACGATTGACGTAGGCAGCTTTGAAAAGTGAATTTTACATGTTTCCTTTTTGTGCAAAGTGAACAAAATCACCTTTTCAACAAAGTCACTTGGGACCTGGGATGAGGTAGAGCTAGGACAGAGTACATATTAGCCCATCAAGGGCGTGTCCAGAGTAAAGGCCAGGGGTGGCATGTGCCCCCCTAAAGCTCTTATTGGCCACCCAAGGTCCCACCTGAATTTTCAGAATCTATAATTGGCTATTTGCCAAATCAATTATTTTGGCTCTTTTCAACAGGCTAATTCTTGTACTGTCAGTTGTAGTTAAATACTCTTTCCATAACATTTCCAAGGAGAAACTCCTGCTTTCCAGAGTTTTCATGAAATCTTCTAAGTGCTTTAAATTGTGACTTTGCACATCTTTGTTTGAGTCCCTAAAGAATCAAGCTAAGAAGATTTATGTTGCCAAATGTTATTTATGGGGATGAAAAGGGTTTAAAAAATTACAGGACAGGGCATGCTTTATAGCGTGGTAGAAATAAAAAAGGTTAAACTTTCCTATTTCAAAATGTTGCAAAGCTGTCACTGTGCAGAGCAGGTGTGTCTATGTGGAGATTTCATAATTACACAAAACTCCTGAAAACTTCCTGAACTTTTTACTGTGAGCGGCATGTGTGAACGCAGACACATTTTTCACTCTGACTTTACTCTGATTTTTTCCTGCAAGTCCAGAAGTACATTTTCCACGTGAAATCGGGGTGATCCGATGTGAGAACGTCTGGGGACGTATTCAGAGCCAGGATTGCACATGTGAGAAGGCGTAAGTGACTGGTTTAAAAAATCATGCACTTCCGTTCTTGGAAACAAACCTGACGCTGGTGTGATAGTACCTGTTTTGGTCCAGAAGGGGGCTCAGGGCTGAGGATCAGGCTCAGCTTCTGGTGAATTTTCTGACTTTCAGATCGTCTGGGCACTAAACAAGGACATGGAGGCGCTGTTGTCTAGGGAACAACAGACGTGGAAAATTACAGCTGAGGCCGAATGACATTGAAAGAAGCCTTGATGTATTTGTGTGTCAAAATAACCAGTTAAACTGGAATCTGGATTCAAATCTTCATTCAGCTGTCCAAACTGAGGTGTAGTCATCTCCCTCTCTGAACACAGGATACTAGAATGTATAAAACACGACGTATCGTCTCAGTGTTGTCATGCACTTGTGTCTGAGGTGTAGTTTAGAAGGCTAATGATGGCAGTTGCTTTTTTGGAAATGTTGTCTCCAAAGAGCTTTCGACAAAAGAAACAGACTAAGAGGTGGAGAGGAGGCGGGACTTTTCACGTTTTTCACTGTTCACGTAAAGGGATTTCTAACATGCAGAAAACTCCTGAAAAATTCCTGATATTTGCAGGAGGAGCTGCATGTGTAAACGTAAACAGCCACATTTTTGATCAGACTTCACCCGGAGTTTCTCCTCCAGCCTCCTCATATTTATTCTGCAGAAAGTCAGAGTGAGCTGACGTGAGAACGCAGCAGGATATAATCAGGAGAATTCACCTGGAGGAAATCCTCAGGGCAAGTCAGGATGTGGGAGAGTTTAGGCTCACTATAACGGCCGCTTCATGAACATGAAACACATTTCTGCTGCTGTTTGAAACACACCTGGTACTCCCAAACTGTCGGACATTTCTTTCCTAAGAAGAGCTTTCTCTCCGATGTCCCACCAGTGGGTCTTTAAACTTGAGCTCTGGAAAGTGGGACACAGTTTGTTGTGATCTGATCTTCCCTCCTATCGGACGCTCCGAGGGGCCGTCACGGAGCGCAGCGCCCTCTGCATCCTATCTGAAAGGCCCTTAAAACGCTTACAGTGTCGTTCAAAAGGAAAAGTGGAAAACAGAGGAAGCTTTTTATGAAACGTGTTGACCCATAATCAATGACATTTCTCAGTTTCAACATTAAATACATTTTGTGGGTTTTTATCTAATTAAATATGGCGTCCCAATGTTTGAAACTCGTCACATTCTGTTTTTATTTACATTTTACACAATGTCCTACATAATTTAGACCTGGGGTTATACAAAATAAAATAAAAACAATAGCCGCGTCCTAATTAATGTAGCCTACTTGTGCAAAATATTACTTTATTGCTTCCAGTCCTTTTTTACTTCGAAGAAAACGATTGAATGACTGCATGCTTTTATTTTGTAAGAACTTCCGGCTCTCACGTTGAACTACACAACGCGGAAATCCGGGAACACCCGGTGGAAGAGACGTGTGCATCACATTTACTGATCCCCGGTCTGCTTTCGAAGGCGCAACTCTCCACCCGTCCACCTCTCAGCTTCATTGCCACCTTATCTGGTTGTTACCTGTCCGTATTTAGTGATCGAAATGCCGCTAAAGTTTGAGCTGTGCCCCGGTAGGATGATCGGAGGAAATCATCCGTGCTTCATCATCGCTGAAATCGGACAAAACCACCAGGGAGACATTGAGATTGCCAAGAAAATGATAAAAATGGCAAAGGTAATAAAAGTGCACACCTTTCGGCTTATTTTAAATGTGGATTTAAGTGATTTTTCTGCCTCTTTAACGCCAGACAACACGACGGGGGACGAATGTTTTTCACAGAACTCCGTTTAAAAAAGCGCCGATTAAATGTGTCGCGTTTGAATCATTTTAATGAAAGACAAGTTTTTGTTAATCATATATTAGTAATATATATGTAATTTAATAGACTTAAGACTGTATAAACTTCGCAATTTGCCTCAGGTTAAAAAAAAGAAAAAGATAATTAACAGTGTAGTAAAATTACCAGATTTGTAAATGGGGTTTGGCACTTGGCGTTGGCGACTGAACTTTGACTTTTTTTTAATAAACTTTATTGAATTATGGAAATGTACAAACAATCAAAAATACCAATATTTAACAATATAAATATAATATACATATTCAATTTACAGTCTGTGGATATAAAACTGTAACAAAAATCATAATGTTAATAAAATAATGTAGAAAAAAGTTCTGAATAAACAGAAATCATTGACAGATTTACCATGAGTGCTTGAGTGATATGAGAGACAATAATCTGAGTCATTAAATCGTTGTTTAATGCTTGAATCTAAAATTAATTATTATTTTTTTGCTATAAAGTGATTATAAAACAAATAAAACCTGAAGGAGAATTGCGGTTATTAAATATGGTTTCCTCCAGTTTGTATTTAAATGCATACCCCTCCTCAGGAACCTGCCTGTAAGAGTAGAGCTTTACTGGGGTGCCTGTGGCCTAGTGGTTGGTGTGTGCGCCCCATGTGCAGAGGCTGTCATCGGACCCACTGGGACACCTGTGGCCTAGTGGTTTGTGCGTGTGCCTCGTGCAGATGCTGTCATCCTCCACCCAGGTTCAATTCCGACCTGTGGCTTCCTTCCCGCGTGTCGTTCGCTGGTTTCAGACTCTGTCCACTGTCCTGTCTCTAAATAGAGGCACACAAACGCTTTACATTTGTTGCTTTCTATAATGTGAAAGGAATCTACAGGAACTCTAAAATAAATAATCATTAGTTGTCAGTAATACTTTACGAGCCCGCCTCGTTTATTCATCCCTAACTGATATCCACCTTCACAGGACTGTGGAGCCGATTGTGCCAAGTTCCAGAAAAGTGAATTAGAACATAAATTCAACAAGAAAGCCCTGGAGCGCAAATATGAAACCAAAAACTCCTGGGGGAAAACTTACGGTGAACACAAGCGCCACCTGGAGTTCAGCCATGAGCAGTACAGGGAGCTGCAGAGCTACGCGGAGGAGGTGGGGATCTTCTTCACCGCCTCAGGGATGGATGAGGTAAGAACAAGACTCTATGTGAATGTTTCTTGACAGTTTGTGAAAGGTGTTTAGTTCACCTGGGATTATTCCCTCTTTAGATGGCAGTGGAGTTCCTGCATGAGCTCGATGTGCCTTTCTTCAAAGTGGGCTCTGGAGACACCAACAACTTCCCATATCTGGAGAAAACAGCCAAGAAAGGTGAGGCCCATCATCTGCAGGTGAATGTGTTGGATCGAGCCATGAGGGGTAATTTAACGTTGAGTTAAGTAGTGATAAAAATGTCTCGGTTTCCTGTCAGAGTATGTAAAAAAGAAAGAAAGGTGTCTTAAATGTTGTTCTTGTAAGTGCGGGCTGTCACAGCTCTGTGGGACATGACGTTTCAGGACGGCCCATGGTGGTGTCCAGCGGGATGCAGTCGATGGAGACGATGCGTCAGGTCTACAAAACGGTGAAGAAACACAACCAGAACTTTGCCATCCTGCAGTGCACCAGCGCCTACCCTCTGGAAGCCGAAGACGTCAACCTCCGAGTGATAATGGTGAGATGACGCCAGCAGCTGATTTTCATATGTTTAATAATGAGCATTTAAAAAATAAAAGAAACAATCAGCTGTGATGACATCAGGCGGGTTCAGTAAATAACATTTGATCATCTGGTTAGAAATGGTTCCTGTCAGTAGGGGGGTATATGTTAGGCAGGAAGTGAACTTTTTGTCCTCACATTGAGGTGTTGGAAGCAGGAATAAAAGAACCAGACTAAAAGTGTGAGTGACTTTGACTGTGATGGTTAGATGACTGGGTGAGAGCCTCCCAACTCTGCTGCTCTTTGGGGCGTTCCCAGTCTGCTGTGGTCAGTACTGAACCTATGAAATGTGGCCCAAGGAGGGGAAGTAGTGAACAGTGACAAGACATGTGGGCAGCCAAGACCAGTCTCTGATGCTAAGCTAAGCTAACTGACTGCTTTGCAACAGCTACGACAGCTATATCTTTCTCAGTCAGTCCTGTGATACTTTGTCACTTTTACCAGTTTTTTATTGAGAGTCTCCTTTGTTTTTCATTTATCTGTTGGTTCAACAGCCTCTCAGTTGAAGACAGAAACAGCCTTACAGGAATTGTTCAAATCTGTTTTAAGATAATCGGCTTGAAACAACAGAGATTTAAACTCTTATTGTAACCAGCAGATCCTCAGAAAGGCTGAGAGTATTTTAGCCTCTTCTGGTCACGCACCTTGACCAGGTGAATTTTGTCTGCTGCCATCACGTCACCGTTATGTTTTACCTGCCTGTAAAACTAACCGCTACTCTAAATCGTTCATCCCCTCTGCGATCAGATTACTGAATGCTTTTTAATGATTTTATCTTTTGGCGCCACATATCTTTTATCTATTCTTTTATTTGACTGATCACTCTAGTGTTTTCATTTCATCTTCAGTCTGGCCGACTTTTAATCAGTCTGTCCAATATCAGTGTCTCCTTTATCTATGTTTTAACTCTTGTGTAGGCTAATCTGTTGCTTGTACGTCAACTTGTCTTTGTTCGTGTTTTTTTCTCGTGTACGAGCTGCTCCACACCAATTGCCCCAAGAGGGATTAATAAAGTTTATTGCATTGAACGACAGTATGTCATTAAATATCCGAGCAGTGTCCAGTTATGTTCATAGCGGTTTATGTTCTAGCTTTATTCATTAAATAACGCTTTAGCAAAAAGGAGGTCGCTAAGGATGATTTAGTTCCTGTTGGATGAAGGAAGGCTAGCGCTGTCTGCATGTTTTCAGTCTTCATGCTAAGCTAAGCTAACTCACAGCTGGCTGTGAGATAAACCAAGAAGTTTATCAGTCCCATAAATCTAATCGTCTAAACTCTTCAAGACAGCAAATAAGTAAATCACGCAGAATGTCAGATTAACGCAGAGGATAGAAAAACTCATCCTGGCCACTTGTGTCTTGTAGGAATACCAGAAGGAATTTCCAGACATTCCCATTGGATATTCCGGCCACGAGTCCGGGATCGCTATATCAATCGCGGCTGTAGCTCTGGGGGCGAAGGTCATCGAACGTCACGTGACCTTGGACAAGACGTGGAAAGGAAGCGACCACGAAGCTTCTCTGACACCCGATGAGCTGACAGAGCTGGTTCAGGGCATCCGGCTGGTGGAGAGGTCGATGGGGAGCGGCCTGAAGCAGATGTTACCGTGCGAGAAGCCGTGCCATGACAAGGTGGGAAATCGTCTCTCTGCAGGGAAACACAGAAAAACCAGTTTGATGCTTTTTTTCACACGCCGCTCTTCTCTGACTGTTATTTAATGTCTGTTTAGAATATCTTCTTTTTAAACATTGCGGTACATATATAAACAACACAACAGAAGGTCAACACTTTTTTTCAGTTTTGTGGTTAATTTGTAACAAATGTTTCATGTCATGTACGTCTTTGTAACCTGCAACTGGATGCTTTGAATTTCCCTCGGGATCAATACAGTATCTATCTATCTATCTATCTATCTATCTATCTGTCTATCTATCTTCCAGCTGGGTAAATCAGTGGTGGCCAAGGTCCAAATCCCCAAAGGAGCGACGCTGACTCTGGACATGTTGACGGTGAAGGTGGCCGAGCCGATGGGCGTCCGAGCCGAGGACATCTACGAGCTGGTGGGAAAGAAGGTGACGGAGAGTGTGGAGGAGGACCAGAGCGTCACACCGGAAGTCGTTGATAAATACGGCAAGAAGGCCAAGTGCTGAGGGAGGCCAAGAGTTTTTGTATTTGAAGAGGATAATAACGCCGTAATCGAATCTTTTGAGATTTCCTCGTTTGTTCTCCTTTGCCAAAGAATTTAAAATGTTCCAAAAGTCGCCTTAATATAATTTAATTTGACTCCGCTAACGGGCTCTTCGTTAAACTCTGTGTTGCCTCACATCAGGTGGTAGTTTGATCTGGTTTTGAAACATTAAATGAATATTGAGCCTCTCATGACGCAGCAGTGACATCACAGGGCGTGAGGGTCAAACAGTCAGTGTCTCAGAGCGATACACAGACACCTCCAGTCCTTTAAATATGAGTGATCCGGCTGGGTTTGTACTCGTAGAGCGTCTTTGAGAGCAGCCACCATGACACCAGTTAGATTCAACTCTGAGAGGAAATGTGCACACGCTCGTCTGCAGAGATTTTTTAGAAGTCGTGTGTTTGCACATTTCCTCGGTCATCTGCAGACTCCCTATAGCAGCTCGTCTCCTAATCAGGTTGTTCACACACATTTATCAATCTTATCATTTGGGAATATCACAGGAATCTAATGAAGGGTGAGAAGATGAAACGTCTCAATAAAATATTTCACCTGTTTCCTCTTGTTTGTTTCCTTCTTTGTGCAACAACACCCCGCAGCGTTTTGATCTGCAGTCGGCCATGTTTGTATCGTAGCTATTCTGTTAGCATGGATCAAATGTTTGAATATTTGCTGTACCTCGTGTTTAGCAACCCTCAATTTAAATTCTAAAAAGCGATATAATAGGGCGCCGGTAGCCTAGTGCGGGGGTTCCCAAACTTTCCAGGTCGTGACCCCCAAAATAAGGGCAACATAGACTGAGGACCCCCCTACCCACACACACACACACTGTTCATTAAAGGCAGAGCTGGTCATTTTCTCAAACTAGCATGATTTTGAAAGTAGCCTTCCCTCAGTCCTCCGTCTACACCCGCCCCCTCCCCTCAAAAGCCACGCCCCTCACATGTACGAGCGCCGTTGCTCCAGAAGCGGACCTCAGCACACGCTTTGAGTGTGGTAGAGAACAAACTCAGAGCACACAGAAGACGACACACACAAGGACGACGTCAGGGTAAAATCTGAATTAGAACAAAGTTAAACAATCAGACAACAAAATATAGAAAACTATAAAACATCGCAGCAAGAGCTCAGACCAAAAAGGGATTTTTACTAAGTTGGTAAAGTGACCAAAAAAAAGCAACCAAAGGGCTAACTGATATTTAATATATGAATTGCAACAGGGACAAATGAGACCAGGACCCTTTTCCGAATAGCCACAGTTCAGTATGCAGTACGACTATTCAGTATGGAGTTTCAGTATACTGAACTTTCGTGGTCATTCAGTATGCATTTTTTGGGTCCACCTCAGTATACTGAACATTTCAGTATGGATACTAACTTCCGGGTTTCATGCAGTATGGATCGGATGCTTGCTTTCAGGGAATTAATTGTATTTTACCACCCACAATGCTGTGCGAAATTAAACGTAAATCGTCACGTCACTTCTCCAAATCAAAACAAACGAGCGTGGATTAATTTAATCAATTTTTAATCTAGAGTTAAAGTCCCGACTGAAATCACTACTTTTAATTAACAACAGAAAATATAACAAATATCTGCGTTATTCTAAAACCTTTCCCCCTCTATTTAAATAATTTTTCACTATTTAAATGTGTCTTTATTGGTTTATTTTATATTCTGTATATTACTGTCTTTCATTTGTACTTTTCTTTATGTACTGTATGTTATTTAGTTATTTAATATATGACTGTATCTGTGCATTACTCTTGAATAAAGCTAAACAAAAACAAAAAAAAACGGGTGGTGCGGCCGGTTCGGGTAACGTAAATGACGTCACTTCCATACTGAATGAATCAGATGAAGTAGGAACAAATATCTGTCTACTGAATAGTAGGTACTAACAGTATGCAGCACGGATAGTACATACTGCCTACTGACATATTGAGTAGGTACTTGGCAATTCGGATACAGCCCTGGAGTCTTTTAGTGTTCTTCACAGGCGCTCTAAAACGACGGCCTGAGGGTCAAAGGTCAAACTCACTGTGAAGGGGCAGTACAGCCTTAGCGCTCCTCAGGACCATAGACTGTAAGCTCAGGACCTGCTGCTTATAAAAGGTCAGAAGATGCAGCCTGACGCTAGCAAACTATCCGGGAGGTCATGTGGTATTTTGACCACTAGATGGCGATGTGTGTCTGGTATCTTTAATCCTGAGCCTCAACACAACCTGCCTGACAACACACAAAGAACCTTTCTGTGTTTAAGTTTAAAAACAAACTCCGGGTAGGAAAGTTTACCTGGCCAGAAAGTTTACCTGGCCAGAGGGTTTACCTGGCCAGTGAATATCGATGTTAGATAGATTTTTTAAAATTAGGATTCATATCCAAGATGTGTAAAGAAAAATGTCTTTGAAGGATTAGGAAACATCTCTTCTTCTGTATTTTCTGCGTCTCTTTTTTTTCCTAAACTGATGAGTGGTTATTTTACCACTGTGCTCTGAAGAGAGTCACTGCTGGTCTGCTGCGAAGGCCACAACTAATCCTGCCCTCTGTCATTGAGGATCAGAGGATTTCCAAGAGATTATGAAAAGTTGTCAAGTCTTTAGGCCTTTACTTTAACAGTGTTATGAGCTGGCGGGAGAGCGGGCCTCTCAGACAGTGATATCATGATCGTCATCGTCGAGAGCTACCACATAAACATCTCCAGCTGCTGAACTTGCTCCACAGTGGTGAGATATAAATGTGTCATGTGCAGTTATAAGAGGAAACAGGTGTGATACTGGTGCAGTGAGCGTCGGTTTGTAGCTCCACTTCAATACAAGAAGCCCACACTGTGTAACCTACGTCAGCTGTAACAGAAATAAAAGCCCTTAAAGGGGACATATTATGAAAAATCCTCTTCTACAGTGTTGTTGAACATATATTTGGGTAACCTGAGTGTCTACTGACCCACAAAATTTGAAATAAACACATCCAGTCCTTTGTTTGTGGTCTGCATAAGTCTTACAACACAGAGAAAAATGCTCCGTTTCAAATGTGCTCTCCTTGTGATGTCACAGTGGGATTCTGGTAAAAAAAAAATCCCCTCCCCTCCCCTGATATCTCCACCCATGGACTCCACCCCTAGACTAGAACAAGACCTTTGCGAAGGTCCGCCATTTTTATTCTTGCTACAGAGGAGTGATGTCTACAGGGAAACTCAGGGGGGGCTCATTACATTTAAAGAGACACACACCAAAACGGAGCGTTCTGAGAGAGCTGGTTTATACAGGGTCACAAACCTCCTCTGGTGCTTGATTCATGTTATATTTTGACCAAAGCACAGCACAGATGTTTCATTTAGACCACAGGGGGACTGTTTGAAAAGGTGGAAAAGGGGGATAAGATGTCCTCTTTTATACAACATTCAAACTGGACCCCTCCTCCTAAACTCATCACCATCACAAGCCCGTACTCACTGCAGGGTTAGCTACACTGCAAGCTACATGAGAATATTACATTTGTTGCAATGGAAAAACTGATAATTTAGCACGCTAGCACAAGCTAACCACCGGTGTTTGGCACCTGCCTGTTCAACAGAAAGCAGACCAACTCTGCGTCGCTCTTCATCTCAAGCCGCTCCTCAAGTACAGCTCTCTCCAATGTTTTGAATTTGGACTGCAGTACCCATTTTAAACAGTAGGTGTCAGATTTACATACTGCTCCTTTAATATCTTAAAGCCCTACTTGATGTGTGCTAGCTATGACATGTTTCTGTTCAAGGAGGCGGGCAGCTAGTTTTCAGTGGTGCAAACATTTTCTGATACATCAGTGGTGATGTGTGTGTGTGTTTGAAATAATCTCAATATGCAATAATTAATAACATCTAAAAAGAGACATTACAATTTTTTTTGTCACAAATAATATTATACCTTACTCTTCTTCCCTCTAAGTTTTTGTCTGGTGACCCTGCTCACTTAGAAAGGGTCTCTAACAACTTAGCAGCTATTTCAGGCACAAGCTTTATCCACTAAGCTGCTGCTAAACCAGGCTTCACAGACAGGCAGGAGCCTCTCTCTCTCTCTTTCTCTCTGTTTCCCCTGCCTTACCTGTGAAAAGCCGCCTCTCACCCTTACACTCACAACATCTAATGATATAATGGATTGTGCAAATAACAGCCTGATGCGATATCAATGTTCTCGTTAATAACTCTCTCATTGCTGATGTCTGTGTTCACTTGTTATGAGGCTTCACCTTTCAGCAGTGACCCCGCGGCTGTGTCCGAGTCAACTCTCTCCACATCCTATGATTCTTTTTTTCAACGAGAGGATCATAAACTTAACTTGAAACATTCCAACAATCAAGGTGTGGGTTCTCTGGCATGTCAGGAGCCTCTGTCTGATTTCATGTTCTGCATGCAATGTACCTTGGCCTGCTTTGAAAGAGGGTTAGGTTATCGGTTACACAACAAGTTTAGCCTCTTCGGGACCTTGGAAAGCCCCTAATATAGCAGCTATGGCCCAAATACAGAACCTGTACTGGTAAGTCTAACACCTCTTCAACCCCACTGTGTGTGTCACCTTTACTGCAGCATTGCACTTCTATATGATAATATTATGTAATGTTTTTTAGACAGAGAGTAGACAACACCTGTCACTATTAATCACTACTTATGGAAATATATCTCATTTCCTCATGCACGACGGTTGCAGAGAATCAACCTGGAAATGGAGATGATAACACCTGAAACATCTTAAAGCTCGTGCAGAATATTTGACTTAGCGTGCCTTTTGCTCCCGGAGGCTGAAGGTGGGCTTGACAGGCCAAGAAGCAGACAGTCTGTCGGCCACTCAGAGCAGCATTTTGCCTGCAAGGGAAAGTTAGCGGCCCACTCCATTAAGTATGCTTCTGTTTAATTGGATAAGAGCAGTGGGAGGTGAGTAACAATGGGTAGGTCTGGTTGGATTTAACCCCATGCAGGATAACGTGGCACATCCTCACATAAATCCCAATCTTTGCAGGATTTATTTTATAGCTTTTATCAATTGTTGTACAGAAAAAAACCCTGCTTTTTTAAAAAACTTTTATAACACTGCCCTTGTGCAACCATCTCTCTCTCACACACACACTCATGCACTGGCACATACACTCTGCAGAGGGTTGTGCTACGTCACATCATTTCAAAATCACCTCCAGGTGGCTACTTAAGCTTACAGTTCCCCAAAGCCTCACCTGACTTTAGTGTGTGAATGCAGCAAACACACAGCAGACACACTAGCTCAATCACATTTTTTTTTAAATTGAAGGGCGTCGGGTAAGCTCTGAGCATGCACACATTGTACAGAGGAAATAGTCCACGTCACGGCAGCCGTGGGGTTCGAATCCGACACCCTACATTGTAGCATCATCCACAACTCTCTCCTCCAAACATTTCCTCTCTCTCCTCAGCTGTCTCATCCATTAAAGGCAAAAAGCCCCTAAAACAATAATTTAAACAAACAATTTGAGGGAAGAATGATTCCTCTAATGAAATGAGCAGGGAGACTTAAATATCTGCTATAAATATATTTCTGGGGCTCATGCCCTCGACTGGACTCAAGCCACATAAGCACGTGTCAGATTTTTTTTTTTTTTTTTTTTTTACAGCTCTACATATGACGGATGGAGCAGCTGTTGCATCAAAAGCCAATTACAGACATGCGCAAAGTGACGGACAGGGGGCGAGGTGACGTCACTCCCCAACAACTGGCTGTTTATGAACAAAACACGTAGTGCACACTTCAACCTCTCTTCAGGTCTTTGAGATTTAGAAAGAAGTGGCAAAATGCTAAAAAAAAGTCCAACTTTATATTCGAGGATTAAAATGCAAATGATGCAAAAAAAAGAAATAAAAAGAAAAATGATGTGTGAAATGAACTCAGGTATGCTTCAAGCTGAAAGTTGATCTAAAAATTATTAGCTATCCGCGGTCGGTCTAAGCTGCAGTGTTACATCCATATATTCACATAGGTTAATATCATGCAGCAACTCCTGCGACCTGTGCTGCTGTGTGTTACATCACGCTGTATTAGGGATACTTTTCAAGGTCTTTGAGAGCAGCACTATGATCTGATGGCACAGCAGGCTTCAGCCCCATCAACCTGTAAGCTTCTTGTGCAAGACTTATTTGCTCAGGTCTAGGGATGGGAAGAAATTATATATGTAACTGAGGGAGGGGAGGATCAGGTGTGAGGGTGGGGGGTCGTTGAGGAAGGAAGGAAGGAAGGACAACCGACAGTCTGATCCTCATTCTTGGACAAAGAGAGAAGACGAGGAGGGGAAAGGTGGAGGGATGAAACACTGAGGGAAGGAGGGAGGGAGTGTCAAAAGGGGGAGGAACCTAGAGGAGGAGGGAGGAGCCCTCGGTCCTCTGCATCTGTCCTGGTGTCTTGCAGCTCCACTTGGGCTGAGGGAGGAAAATCTCACCTAGGATTTACTGTTGGGACCTTTAGCCTTCTGGACCCTTCTTCCTTTGTGGATTCAATTTACTGGAATATTCATTGGAAGATACTGGAGCTGCTGCCTGCCCGACGCCTTCCTGCTGAACAGGAGATTTCCAAGTGTGGTATGAGGATAAATAACTTTATTTGTTGGGCTTTTTTTATGTGTAGCTGTAGTGTGTCTTCACTGTCATGTCCTTGTAGAGTCCAGCTTCCTTTCAAAATGTTTCCTTTACAGGACTATTTGTTTTTGGACTCAAACAAAGATCTACATTTAATGTATTGTATCAAAGCAGTTAGGGAAGCATTCACATTATTAAGGACTTTTGAGATGAAGTTTCGAGATTGCAGTTGAACATGCTTTACGTTATCCGGGCCCTGAATCGACAAATACATTTCTCTCTTTTTTTGTGTCCCTCATATTCACTCTTTTGGCTTACGTCTACTTTTTGACTTTGTGCATTGGCATCAGTGTGCAAGGCCTGAGGCTAATCTAAGTATATCTTCTCAGGGATTAAATAGCTTCCTAATGAGCTTTCACTAATGTCCTAGCTTTCCTTAAAGGAGAGAAGTCACTGCAGGTTCTCAGCACAATGTCAAGAAGGCTACAGCATTGTGACTGATTGGTATATTTATAGATTTACATAAACATATGCGAAAGTGTGTTGAAGCACTGCATGACTTTTTAAATTAGTGGAGGTGGATACCCACTAAGCAACATTTAAATTTATCCAAGCCTTTTGAAAATATGCAACAAGAACTTTAAGCCAGACAATGAAATCTGTTTGGATTATAACCAACAAAAGAATCTAAAGCTCATGTGAACTTTTTAGGAAGGTCTTGTTTAGCATGGACACTTCAACAACGTTAATTGTTTTACTTAAAAAACATTTCATTCAATTATGTGACAAAGCAAACCAACAAGGCGACAAAGTTGCCCAGAGTTTTCCTTTTAGAGGTCTTTAAGTAATTGTCAGAGTGATTCAGAAAGCAGGAGACAAAATCCCTTTTCTCAAATAATGTACATTATTTTAGTCAGCTTGGGGGCGCTGGTGGCCTAGCGCTTAATAAGTGCACTCCATGAACAGAGGCCTAAGTCTTTGAGAGCATGCCGCTCCTGTGGTCCCCCCCCCCCCCCCCCATGTTGTTCCTTGCTTTCTCTTCCCAGTTTTTGACTCTATCCACTGTCCTATCTCTAAAATACAGGCCCCAAAATTAGTCTATTTCCTTTCACATGCATGGGAATAGAAAGCAGTAGAAGATGGGATTCCATGAGTTATGTCAACATTTATGTGTACCTCTCTACTGTACTCTTCTTAAAGGCCTCTAAAGTGGAAAGAGTAAGAGCAGCTTTATCCACATGTAAGTCCCTGACTTTTAAACTTGTATTTCTTTGTCTTCTGTGTCTTGCAGAGTGTAATATGAGGAAGCCTTTGAATGGGCTGGATCCTGGAATCAGACTGGGGGGCTTCCATTGTGTTTAGATCGGGGAGCAGCATGCAAACTAATCGGTGAACCGACGTGGCCTGTCAAATCGCGGCCCTTGCAGCCAACAGAACCACCAGCCCAGCTTTTTTTGGGGGGGGATTCATCCACTCTGCCTAAAAAAAAACCTGCGCCAAACACCATGGATTTCATGCTACCCATAAGAAGTCGAGGCACGATGGCTCCCTCCAGCTCCGAACCTCTTCTGGGCTGTCAAAGCAGATGCACCAGACAACACTACGCAAGCGTTAAAAGAAAGCTGCGGCCTGGACGGATTCTGGGCTTCGTCCTCAGCTTGGCGGTGGTCTGCACAGTCTGCTCATGGAGTGCCTTGTCGCTGGTCACAACGATGGCCAAGGAGCTGGAATCGGCTGATGAGGGCTCAGCAGAGGCAGCGGTGCCCCAAAGAACACTTCTTCAGCACAACAACATTTCAGTTGCAACAGGAGGCATACCAATAGCTATGAAGTCATCCGACGTAGAGCTGAATCATGGGGACTACCCGACGGACTTATTCTCTGTTGAGCAGAGACGCCAGGGCTATGTGGTGTTTCATATGTTTGGCATGTTGTACATGTTCATAGCCTTAGCCATTGTTTGTGATGAGTTCTTTGTTCCTGCGCTCACAGTCATCACAGAGAAGCTGGAGATCTCTGATGATGTAGCAGGAGCCACCTTCATGGCAGCAGGTGGCTCCGCCCCAGAGCTCTTCACCTCTGTCATAGGGGTCTTTGTCTCCCACAGTAACGTAGGTATTGGTACCATTGTGGGCTCTGCCGTCTTCAACATCTTGTTTGTGATTGGGATGTGCGCCGTGTTCTCCAAAGAGGTGCTGAACCTCACCTGGTGGCCTCTGTTCAGAGACGTCTCCTTCTATATCATTGGCTTGCTTATGCTCATCTATTTCTTTCTGGATAATGAAATCTCATTGGGAGAAAGTATTAGCCTGCTGATGTGCTACACCTGCTATGTGACATTCATGAAGTTCAATTCTAAAGTAGAACTTGTCATCAAGAGGTTGCTGGGAAGCAACCAGGTGGACGAGCTGGAAACCGCACCAAGGGTGAGCTTGATTCTGTCCATCCCACACATGTTTACATCCATGCATCAGTCCTACAGTCCATCCATTTGTTTGTCCACCAACCATCCATATATATGTCTGTTAATCCACCAATCTACCAATCCATCCATCTATTCATCCAATGGGTTATCCATTCATCTTTTCACCCACATATCTGCCCATCAGGCCAACCCCCAATCTGTTGCCCATTAACCCACCCTTCCATCCATCAATGCACCAATTTGTTTATCAATCGGTCGTCCAATAGTCCATCTAACCATCCATTATTTTAGCGTTGCCTTTTCCTTCTCGTTTGAGTCCCACCTTACTCTCGCCACTTCCTGACCTTTATCTGGAGCCATCAGATGATCCTTAACATTCACTCATCCCAATATATACCCAGATGTTCTCATTCACTTACTGATCCCAGTGATCCATCGTAACCTTCTAATTCCCCTGGTGATTCTGTAGCTCGCAAAACACCAGGAAAATTAGATGAAAACCTCCAATCAAACAACACAAGATGTGACCATTATCTTATTTTTGACATGCATTTCTGATGTTGATGGAAACTCTTTTTGCCAGTGTGTCTTTGCTGAAATCTGGATAGCTGCGGCCCATGAGAATGTCATGGAGCCTGACCCTGACAGCAGTACCGCCCCTGTTCTTTGGGCAGTAAACAGTGTTATAAAAGAGGCACAAAGGGTGTTAAAACAGAGTGCTGAACACACAGAGCTCTGTCAGGTAGCCAAACCCTGCTGAATTCTCATCTGGAAGGATATAAAGATTTGTCTTAATTTGCCACCTGTGTAGCTTGGACGGTGCCAGACTCAGAGCCAGGCCGCGGCCCTCTTGGTGCTGACTAAGTCTATAGGGGCCTTCCTTTGTCTTCTGTCCTTACTGTTAATAACCAAGTCTCGACCCGGATCTGGCAAGGCTCAGATACAAGAAGCAATTCCCAGTTTTCAAACATTGGAACTGCTACTTAGTCAGGTCAGAACAGGAATCATAAAAATGCTAAATACTCAAAAATAACTTTCTTTTTTGATCAAATGAAAGGAGTCTGATATCACACTGATAGTGTAACTAATACTTAACATGTAAATCCTGAGTTCTGTAGAAAGTTGTAAGTCTTGGAGTGTCCTTTCCCAGAGATTAAACCAAAACTGTAAGCAGAAGAAACAGCTAAATGTGTCTAAAAGGTCTTCATAGCACCTCCTTAACCTCATTGTTAGCGCCCCTCGTCTTCAACCTGACATTGGAGCAAAGTTGCCTCTTGACTCTTTAGGAGGGTTGTAGCTCTGAGTGTTGTTTGTCCTTTTACTTCAGCTGGTTGCTGGTTATACATTCCAATCTGAAGTTCAGAGATCTCGTTATTCTCCAATCAAAATGTAAAGAAAACACCAGTTAGAAAGTGTTCGCTGTTCTGAGAATTGGTAATACTCAAGCACGGTTTAAGAGCCATGCCTTTGTTTCTCTGAAAGGCCTTTTCATAGTTGGATTAAGAAGACGTAAACCTGATGGCGACAGACTTTCAATACCAGTCGATTCACAATCACAGAACCAATGTCTCTCTTCTTGACATTGGAGGAAAGATGATTGGCAAGTGTGATCTCAAGATTGGCTTGGCGAGCTCCTTGTTCTGCTCTTGCTGTGTTTAAAAATAGCAAACATGCAAAACGATGGCATGTAGAGAGGGGACGTAATGAAACACCAAACACAAACATTGTCACAAACACACAAAGAAGGTTTTTTTTATTTTTATTTTTTTACAAATTTGTCCCTCTGTCTTCTTTATGTTCTGTCTGTGTGTGCAGTTGGAGTCAGATCTGTTGCTCTCTGATGTTGTAATCACATACGGCTCTCAGGTGACAAAATACTAAAACTACTGTAGGCTGATCTTAGAGCAGCTTGCCCGTAGCCTAGAGTGACATCACCCATCACCAGGTCTTCAGGGGCGTATACAGTGCTTTTTTTTAGAAACACATACATATACGTATTTAATGCCATAACGTGTGCTTGAGATGTTTACAGAACAGACAACTGTTGTGATGATTGTGACTCAGGCCAGTGGATGTTCTCATGTTTTAGGTAACAGATGAGCTCATTATCACCGGCCTTAAATATGGTCGCATCTGCTTTTAAGCTCCACCCCCTTTAAGGCTTAGGTCATTCTCAAAAATGACCTATGGAAAAAAAAATATATGTGTTTAGAAGAATAGAAATCTATCTTGTCTTTGTGCTCTTGCTCTTCTCCTTTCTTTCCAAATTATGTATTCTTAATAGTGACTTTGTTCTTTTGTCATAACAATAACAATTGAAATTTTCCATCCCAGACGCCAACCACATTACCGTAAATGTGAAGAAAAGCCAATCATGTATCTGCTTGTGTCTTCTTATTCTAAAGCTGTGAACATGTACAGCATATCTGGCCGCTGAACCCTTTCAGGGGTTGTTGCAGAAGCTCTATTGACATACATGCCCTTCTGGGAATCAGCTATATATCAGGCTTCCTCATCTCAACCCAGGAGCAGCTTTCCAAGTGCTTTCTATCGTCCAGCACTTGATGTCCAACTGCCTTGTCCTCATGTGTCGGTAGCTGCCAAATAATCCCTCGGGTTAATGCCCTCCAATCCCATTAGAGCCGCTAATAATAGTCAGATGCTCCCTGGGGGAGCAGGAATCAGCAGATCACCGAGAAAAAAAAGACTGAATGCTCCGTCGTCTGGCTGCCGTCCTGCTCATGACGTGCCGTGGCTTTTGATTTGTGCATTGTTGGGGATGTTTTGGGATGTTTGCACAGTGCATCCAGTGCATTAAGCATTTATGTTATAAGAGAGAGAAGATCTGTTGGTTTGCTTGCTGATGGCACTAAAGACGACAATCCTCTCTGATCCCCTTATCAACTGCTTACCTGCAGTGACGACAGTAAACACACAGCCAAGCACACTGTCACCCAGCCTCCGCAGAGCTCTTACAAAACGTCTCAATTCTCCTCTCAGTCATTCATATAAAAAACCTGGATCCCCACCCAGCAGTTTCATGCATCTGCAATGTCATGAGTTATTTAATTAACAACATTCAGCTAGCGGAGGAGGATTTAGTGCAGATAAATGTTGCTCATATGACGTCTTATAATTATAAAATGATTATTAATGATGGTGACCTTGTTCATTAAATCAGACGGTAGATATTTCTGCTCTGGGGTCAGCACAAGGCTTATATTGAAGACCTTACAGTCAAAGGTTCTTTCTTCTTATTCAAGTCAGTGTGATCATGATCAGATCAAGTGCTGCCGCTGCTTTTCTACAGGAACAACATAACTATCTGTTGAGCCTTTGAAGGATCATGCTTAGCGTTATGAGCAGTTTTTAAAGACGCATGAGTAAAGACGGCTGCCGCTCGCAAGACTGAGGAGCGAGACGGGGAAATGTTGGACATCATGGTGACCTGTGAAGGTTGCTGCGGGACTTCACACGCAGGCTCGAAAATTACCAGTCTAAAAGTGGTGATCTCTGCTGATTAATCCTGGCTAAGTCGCACAGCTCGGAGAGTCAGGTGGACACTGCAGAGGGAGGCGCACACACACACACACATACACACACACACACACACACACACAGTAAAGGTGGTGTCATTGTGCCTTAGGGTTGATAATTGTTGGGATGAAGGGAAAGTTTGGTGTAAATTCGGGACTTTAGGATTTGGGAGTTTCTTGGTGTCTTGATCTCAAACTGGGATGAGAGACCACTGAACTGGAAGTGATGAAATACCAGCGAAGCCTCCTTTAAAAATGTCACCAGTCTGCTCAAAATAAGCAATATGCTTCTTGAATCCACTAATTTCCCCCAAATTGTGTGTGGAAGGAATTTCTCTGGAAATCCAAAGTTCAATAAGACTATTTTTAATAGTTTAGAAGTTTGAAAAAATCGAGTTCTGATTATTTATTTGATATTTAATGTCATTAAATGTGACGTCAGAGAGGATATGACTGTGGCAGAACGAGCAGTAAAGGCGATATAAATCCTTTGACTCCTTTCAGGTTTTAAAAGTGTTACTACATTTAGTTATGACCCACCATCATTAAGGATGGACTTCATGAAATGCTGTTTTTTAAAGGTAAATGTCAGGTTTGGTTTTGAGTTCTCTGAGTGTCGCAGCAGTGACAGGTTAGTTAAAGAGCAGTGTTGGTTAATTTCCCTTCAGTTGGAGGATGTATTAGACAATGACCTGTGTTACTGTATAAATGACTGAAGTGGCTGGAGGTGATTGTTCCAGCGGGCTGATTTGTGCTGATTGGTGAGAGGATGCAGCTCCGACGGAGGACTGACAGAACCTCACACGTGCAGCAGAGCGGAGATGAGGGCTGAGGGAAATAAGGGCAAAGATTAGTAGTGTTTCGTCGTTAGGTGTGTTGATGTCAAGCGACCACGAACATGTTACGAAACATAAATCAAGCTGAGCAGCACGCTGTGGGGGGGAAAAAAAACAGGCTCAGGTTTTCAGGGTGCAAAACGAAAAACACTTGTTGAGCTTTTGTAAACAGTCTGAAGTGATGGAGGTCAAAGATGAGTCTCAGAGGTCGTGATGTGTATAAACTTTGACCAAAGCATCAAAACTTTATTTTTAACATGCAGGCTCCGGTCTTAGCAGCTCCTACAGCAGGTTGAATGAGTCTTCAGTGTGGCCATCTGAGCACTAACCAACATGAACTAATGCCAAGCTGGCCTCTGCTTTTCAAAGCCATGCTGCTCAGCCATCACATGGAGGCTACAGTTCACACAGGTGACCCCTCTCTGTCATCATTCAAAACGTCTACAGTCAATATCATTTCTGTTCGATAGAAAATAACAACGTTTAAGTAAACAGCTTTGAATGCCACAATCCCCGAGGAAATAAATCATCTTTGTTTTGTGTGTAAACGTATTTTAACTGAATATTTGTTAATGACATTTATTACCATCTCGATAAGTAGCCCAACTATTCAATGGAAACGCAAGCCGAACGTCAACATAAGCAAAAACAAAAAACCTATCTTTAGTGGTGCTGTAGCCGCCATAACAGCAGCAACAGGTGTCTTGTCAGATGCATGCTAAAGGGATTATCTTCTCAAACTCTGTGGCCTCCATCATGAAAACGTGTCAACAACAAAACCCTCCACCCCTCTGCTTTGTGCTGATGATCATCTCTCCGTCTCTGAGGGAAAATTAAGTAAATATTGTTTAACTTCCTCTCTTTGCTGATGATCTGACACGTTAAATAGCATGTATACTATAGTCTTAAAAAGGTTCTTTATCCATCATTAATGCTGTATTGATATCAACAGATTAGACATAAAAAAGTAGCCCGTTTCCTCAAGGTGTAGGTTGTTAATAAAGACAAATCAAATTACACATTTACAGCAGTAACTGTCGTAAAGCGGGTCCACTGGTTTTAATCTGCATCATGGTGATGGATGACGGGTGATTCTGGAGTGAAAGACGAGTGGTACATGGCGCTGGCCCCCTGGTGGCGGGCCATCAGTGACGGCATGTGATGCTGAATTTATGGTGATATGTCCGTAATGCAAGTGCACAAGTCGCCGTGAAGCTGGCATGCCACAAATGATACCAATATGTCAGTGCTCCCAGTATGTCGCATGTCACTTTTCAATCTCGCCAACACTCCCAGAACTACTTCCTGTTATCAGAAGCATCATAAGCCAGGTCTTACTCTGCTTTCACTTACTCCTTGGATGCTCCAAAGCCCCAATTTTGGGATTTTGTTTTCTGATTTTGGTGTTCAAAAGTTTGTTAAATCAAGAAAGATTAAAATTAAAAGAACAATATAATATTTTACTGTTCAGAAGTAAAGTAGGTGACTCTAAGATGGCAGCAAGTAACTTCTGGTCTTCCAGGTATTAGCCACACTCGAGTTAGTTACATGGAATGAACAATCCAACGCCTGGCCTCCACATCGTCAATAAAGTCCCGAGCATGGAAACCTCTTCAGTATATAGTCTATAGCGGTGGTTCTCAGGACCCTAAAACCAACTCCTTCATGAAAAATCACAACCCCAATTTTGGATTTTCTTTCAACCAATCAGATTGATTAAGTGAGTAGTTGTGCAGTTTGGACCTCAGGCGGTAAAAAACATGAGACAGAACAAATGAACCAAAGAATAAAAGTGAGTCATAGACTTTTTGACACACATTCGCAACCCACCAGAAAACCGCTCCAAATCCCACTTTTGGGTCCCGACCCACCAGTTGAAACCTAGTTAATCACAGTCAGGCATTACACTTTTTTAAATCAAGATTAACCTCATGGTATTTTGTCCCTTCAGGCTCACCGTAGATAGTCATCCTCAGTGTCTCCCTGTAGTCTCAGTGATGTAAAAGAAGGACACTGCTGCATCTTTGAATGTCTCATTTCACTTTAACAAACTCTCAGACATCTCAGCTGAGTAATATCCACCTTATGAAATCACACATTGACCTTATGACATCACACATTGACCTTATGACATCACACATTGACCTTTGTTACAGTTCCTTTGAGCTGTTTGACCTCAGTTTGGGACCCCTATCCACTTCCTGTCTCTGTGCTGAACTTCATGTCCTGACCATAGGTCCTGACCTTCCATCTACAGGAAGGGCCTGACTTTAGTTCAAAATAATTTAAAATGTGATAAATTTTGATTAACTTGTGAAATGTGGTGGTTATTTTAATCGTTTGACAGCCCTAATTATAATTGTTGCATCACTCGTTAGATTTGTCAACTGATCCTACTTTAATATGTTTTATTTCTTAAAAATCAAATCCTGTGAAGATGTTAGGTGACAAAATAGTCAGTATCAGATGAAGAAGTTATTTCTGTTTGTTCCTGTTTTTATACAGTTTTCATGTAGCAAACTTTAATCTGGTTGGTGTCACATTAACATTTTAAAAAGCCTCCTTGCTTCAGTCGTTGTCTTTATTATGTGAATTTCACTCCGAGCAGGACGTCATAGCGTTGCCACTCTCAGCCTGATTTACCCCACTTCTACTGTCTGTCTGACAAATCTACTCAACTTAAAGTTTCGATATCTACATCTTAATTCAACAAATATTCCCAGTACCGCCTTCCCAGACCAAACCTCCCCCTTCTCTGTATCTACACAAAGCATCACCACACTCTCTACCTGTCCCACACACCGGGCGCCGTGTGTGTGTATGTGTGTTTATGTGGTGACACTGCTGTGCTGTATATGTCCTCTGAGGAAATGGCTGGGTTGTAGTCATATGTCTATGTGAGTGTGTGTAGGATCTTAGACTCCATCTTGTAAAAAAAGACCAAAGAACAAGCTTTAGAAGAGGACTCAGAAATGAGGAAGTGAAGTCACACATACACACAGCAAAGGGAAGCTGTGTGTGTGGGCTTCTGGGTTTTTGACGAGGGTGCAGGCCTAATGTGTTAGATTGCATATAGTGCATGTGTTTGTGTTACTATCTCCACACTACATAAATATATGTGTGTGTATATAAGAGAACAAATACAGTAAATATGTAACATGTTTGCTTTTTCTGTGTTTTTACATAAAGGTAACCGCTCCTGATGACGAGAACAAGCTGACGGTGAGTTTGTCTTTATAGATATCTTTAGTAGGAAAATGTTTATGAAACAAAGATAAATACATAAAGCCGTTTTCAAACAAATTATCTTAAAGGGGCAATATGTAACTCTGACACCTAGTGTTTAAAATGGGTACTGCAGTCCAGATTCTAAACATTTTAGAGAGCTGTCTCCCCCGCCCCCTCCTCTCCAGAGTCGATGCTCACGCAGGTTGCCATGTGGTGGACACTGAAGCTTCAGTGTTTAGCCAGCTCTGCATCGGTCTGTAAACCTTTCTGCGTTCTAACCTCTCTCCATTTTTCAAAAGCATCTCCAATATTGATCCTAGTTTGAGCACGTTTCTGCTCGTGGAGCTTATTAGAAACATGCAGAGGCTTTTTAGGTCGGGTACAATCACTTTTATCTGAACCGGTTCTCTCTTCTCTTGTTGTCAGAGAAGCCAGCACTTCAACATAGCATGTTTCCTTAATGTCTGATCATATAGTAAGGTCACTTTATAATTTCACTCACTACACATCTTACTGATTGCTCCCTTAAACACAGGCTGAACTTGATGCTGTGCTCACACTTGGTTAATACTTTTTAACTTCTTTGTATGGAACAATCGGGTTCAGTACTGGTCATGTTATAAGAGCATTACATGACATTAAAACTTCACACACTTGTTCCTATGAGTCAGTTTGAAGCTGACTAAAAACCACTCTGCTTTGCGTGTAACTGATTTTAATTACGTTGTCGTCACTCTTTCTATTTATTCTGTTTTGTGCACATCTAGTCTTTGTTGTTGTACTCTTGATGAGGCCATGTCCTCAGTGATGTTCGGGATTTAAATAAGTTCAATGAATGAATATTCTACATTCATCAGAGAGCTATAAGCTGCAGGAGTGACATGACCTCGATGCCGTTGACTTTGATTGGTGTTCATCAGGATGGTTTCCTCTCACTTTTTTTTGAGCGCATAAAAATGACAAATGAATCATGCAATGGTGACTTAGTGGCTAGTTTGTGCGCCCCATATACGAAGGGTATAGTCCTTCAATTGGGTGTTCTGTGGCTTTTCATTCCCTCTCTCTCACTCTCCCTGATTTCCAACCCTATCCACTGTCCTGTCTCTCTAATAAAGGCACAAAAAAGCCTTAGAATATATCTTAAAAGTCAAATATTCTCCTCCTCCTCAAGCAGTTTAAGTCTCAGAGCTCCTCAAAACATGTGTGTGAAGTTTCTTGTTCTAAATCCACTCTGATCCTGTATTTGATCATGCCTATAAACCCCTCTATTTCAGCCCTGCTCAGAACAGGCTGTTTCTGTGTCTGTACCTTTAAATATGTAAATGAGCTGTGTTTGACCACTCCCCCTCTCTAGAAGGGCTTGGGTGTCTCAGTCTTTCTCGCTCCATGTCTTATTGTTTACGGTGAGAAGGCAGACTCAGAGGGCAGAACAAACACCTAGCTGTGGGAGAATCACCCTCCTGAGAGAGGGGTTACTGCCCTTTGTGATGTCATGAAGGGAAAATCTCCAAACGGCCTGTTTGAGCAAACATTTTCTGAAAAGTAGAGCAGGCTTTAAGATGGAGAGGATGGACTTTTCTCATCATTGGGGGTTTGTAGACAGACTAAAGACACATATTAGAGTTAGAGAAACATGGTGAAGTGGATTTTGCAGAATATGTGACCTTTAAAGAATGACTGTAAATGTTGAGTAGAAAGTCTTCATATAGATTTTGTTGTAACTGTCTGTGTTCATGTAGGCCAAACCCAGGTTGCAGAGGGAAGGCAGCTGTGCCTCTCTTCACAACACACTGATGAGAAACAGTATCTTCCAGCTCATGATCCACACCCTCGACCCTCTCAGTGATGAAGGTAAGGGTAAGACAAAAATCAATCATATCTCAATCATCCTTTTTCAATGTATGGAAGCCCTTTTCTGCAAACACGGGACGGATTCAAACATTCACATACCGGCTTTGGACCAAAATATTGAGATATTTTGGTCATTCTTGGGAGTCTTTCTTCCTCACATTGGCTAAAAGAAGGCTTCAATACAAGTACAACATCCTTTTCTTCAACCGAAGTTGTCCCCCCTGCAAGTAGTCATCGTCTTTCCATTTTTTTAGGACGTTTCAAAGAGAAGGCTTCTATCCTTCACAAAATGGCCAAGCAGAAGTGTAAAGATGAGGCAGCCAATGCCAACGGCGTAGGTGAGTAACGAGGACGAGTTCAAACTATGGGAGTTCATTTGTCCTGCTCAAAATTAAACTCATGAATCAAGTGACAAATGAATCAAGAATGACTCAAACAACTCCTAAAAATACTTTTCACAAAATGCACTCCTGAAGATGCATGGAAGCTCTCAGGACAAGCTGCTCCCTAAAATCTGACTTGCCTCTGGACAGAAGGGTCTCAGGCACAGTGACAAGAGAGCAATCCTCTTAAAAAGTTCTTCGTTCAGACGACAACATCATGATAATAACCGCCGTGCACCAGTCTGAAAACATTGTAGTACACATGTTTGTCACCTGTGACCCATTTCCTGGCCCTTCTGTTTTCAGGCGCCCAAAACGCCAAAGTGGTGTAAACAAACAGCCAAAATGCAACAACAGGTTGCCATTTTTAGATAAAATCGTTGCGGTGTAAAAAAAAAGGCCTCAGGAGTCTGGATGTGCTGCAGAAATGGTGGACAAAGCAACACAGCTGATGCTATAATTACAGTTTTGGGTCAACATATTCACAGTATAAACGAGTGGATGGTGAAAGACAGAAAAGAGCATGAAGCAGCTTCATCATGTGCGAGACGGCCGCGCTGGTCACATGATTTAAAGTCGTAGTGAATTAGAATATGACCTGCTGTACAGCTCACCCTGACTTCACGCGGAGGTTTCAGGAGATTCTGGCAGGAGAAAAACTCAAGTCAGGCTTAATAAGTCAGTTGTTTTATGTCACACATGCAGCTCACCCTGAAAAATTTGGGGAATTTTCAGTAGTTTTGTGTTTAGTTGTGAAAACACCAAAGAAGTGATCAGAAATCTGCTGAGATCAAAACGACTTTATGAGCCTCAGGAAGTCATACAGCAATGTGTGACGCGTCTTTAAACCTGACAAGAAGCTTTCAAAATCGAGAGACTGGTGCCTCAGATGTAAATGTGATTCTTAGTTTCAAGAATACGTCCTTCATTTGTCATTTGATTCCTCAGCCGACTGACCGATTTGTCAGCTCCTCTGTAATTTGATCATTTCATCATGAGAGGGCACAGACGCACTTCCGTATGATTCTCTGTTACTCCTGTCCGGATGGATAAATAACAAAGATATTTTTGTTTCTCAACATAGGAGCCCCCTCGCAGATACAACCTCCAAGAAAAGCAAATTGTACTAAGTTTCAGCCTTCTCATAATGCCATTAGATCATCACGTTTCATTTCAAATTCATACACTGCTTGACAACGAAGCACTTTGACCTTCATTTAACCTCTCTCTCTCTCTTTCTTTTCTCTTCCTTCCTGTAGCCGTTAAGAACATCCAAAACAGCTCCAACGTCGCCGTGGAAGTCACACCGCCCATGAACGGTGTCGTGGGAGGAGAAGCGGTATGGTCTCTTTGTGCTTTTTTTTGTTGTTTGATTGGTGCGAGTGTGTGTGTGTGTGTGTGTGTGGTTAATCTAAAATGACTCCTCTTCAGGGCGGCGAGGAAGAGGAGGACGAGGACCAGCCTCTGAGCTTGGCCTGGCCCGACACCTGCAGGAAACGAATCACCTACCTCATCATCCTGCCCATCGTCTTCCCTCTGTGGCTCTCGCTCCCTGACGTCAGGAGAGAGGTGACGACACACACACAGACACACACACACACACACACACACACACACACACACACACACACACACACACACAGAGTCAGGTATGTGTACATATAAAAATTAATTTCCTGGGGGGCGTTCTTTGGTGCAAAAACGATCAACATAAAAGTAAACAATGATGAAGAGAGTGTGCTACGAGTGAGGGACTCTAATAGAATAGAATAGAATAGAATAGAATAGAACAGAATAGAATAGAATTGAATAGAACAGAATTGAATAGAACAGAACAGAACAGAATAGAATAGAATAGAATAGAACAGAATAGAATAGAATAGAACAGAACAGAATAGAATAGAATAGAATAGAATAGAATAGAATAGATGTTTATTGCCTCGTGCACAGTAACAGAACAGTACGGGTGCATTGGAGTTAAGAGTGCATTGGTCCTAGAGTCAGGTCTTATCTCGGTCTCGGGTATATCTTGTCCTAGAGTAAACAAAACATACCTGAGACCAGAGTGCTCCGAGACAAGACCAGACCAAGATATTTAGCTAGACCTAGACCATAAATATCACTGAATAATCATCTTGTGTGCAGGGGTCATAAAAATCAAACTACAAATGAACTGAAGTTATTAGTTCTTTTAAAAAGAGGTGTTTTGCTTCTAATCTCAGTAATGACGAGGAAAAACAGCTGATCAGTGGTGGTCTTGACCGGTCTTGATATAAAATCCGGAGTCCCCACAGTCTGAGGCCCGAGACAAGACCGAGTAAAAATCCTTTAGATTGCTTTAGATAGAAGATGAGAGCGAGACCTTCAGAAAGTGTTCTGGAGACCAAGACCGATTTTGAATACTACAACACTACATGGAACATTTTCACATCTAATTTTGCCTTTTTTGTGGTCATTGCATAGTCATATTGTTATTTACTGTGAGGTGGTCAACTGTCCATCACTCAGGTGAGGTGGGGGGTATGGTGTTTTCTTCAAAAAAGAAATGTAGATCAGAATTAGTGAATCTTTTTCAGGGCAGGTTAAGTCTGTAGTTGAGTTTGGTCTTCACTTTCAGATGTTGACTTTTTGTTTCTTTTGTATTTTCAGACCTCAGCGAAGTTCTTCCCCATCACTTTCCTCGGCGCCATTTCTTGGATCGCTTTCTTTTCCTACCTGATGGTGTGGTGGGCTCACCAGGTACAAACACACACAAACAAACACAAACTCACACACACATGCCAGCTTTCTCTAAACTCTCTTCTATTCTGAGGACTTTCTTATGAGAGTGCAGCAGTCAGGGTGTTGAATGTGTGACCACGGCAGCTAATCCCGGCTAATCTGCCCTGATCCACCGCCAGATCAACCTGTACAGTAAAGCTCTATTTTAGCAGTGGGAATAAAGCATGAGGTCATGTGTGCAAGGTCGTGAGGGAGGGGCGGGGCAGCAGCTTTTTTAAGGTCCCCATGGGTGCAGATCGCGGGGTCGTGGGAAGCTGGAGCCGAGCTGTCATTGGGCAAGAGGCGGGGTTACACCCTAGACACAGCGCTGACATATAGAGACAGACAACGAGCTTCACTACGGGCAATTCAGAGTCAGCAGTTAACCTAACGAGCATGTCTTTGGACTGTGGGATGAAACCAGAGTACCTGGAGAGAACCCACACATGCACAGGAGAGAACATGCAAAGAGGCTCCTGTCAGACGATGGAATTGAACCAGGAACCTCCTCGCTGCTAACCACTGCACCACCGTGCAGCCTAAGATATTCATGTACAGGAAAAAAATCAGCAAAGAGTTAAGAGGCACTGCTTTGAAATGTTGCACCATGCAGCAGAGCCTTAAAAGAAGGCTCTGCTGCTTGTTTTGTGCTCTTCAAATTTTCAGGCTTATCCCATTCTTTCAGTACATTTACACATACAAGGAATTTGACTTGGTGCATTGGTGCTAAACAATTAACAGGGAAATAACGCAGAACTAGCAACAACTTAAATAATACAATATAAGAAGCTATTACAATGTATAAAATATAATAAAAAAATGTAAAATATAAAAATAAAAAACACAAAATGTACAAAAGGTGCAATGTAGGAGCTGTGCAGTGGACTGTGAGGAAAAACTCTTAGTGTATTTAACTACTCACAGAGTGCATGTAAGGAAGATACATTTTTAAGTCCAGTCTCATCCAACATCTGCACTTTGTTCCTATTTACTTCCAGTTTAAATATTCAGTGTGTAAAGCGATGTCTGCAAAAGGTTATGAAGCTCAAAAATATTTTTTAACCTCCGAGAATGATCAGAGCGATGGGAGAACAGCTGCAACATTAAGCACCTTTCTTCCTCCTTCCAGGTGGGAGAAACCTTCTGGATCACAGAGGAGATCATGGGTCTGACCATACTAGCAGCTGGTACCTCCATCCCTGACCTGATCACCAGTGTGATCGTGGCTCGAAAAGGCCTCGGTGACATGGCCGTGTCCAGTTCGGTGGGCTCCAACATCTTTGACATCACCGTGGGGTGAGTCCAGCACGCACCAAAAGAAAACGCACAGTGTTTTTTTTTATTTGTGAATGTGAACGTTTCAAATGTTTATATCTCTGACAATGAAGCTCAGAGATAACCTGACCCCCTCATCTCCCCACAGTCTGCCATTCCCCTGGCTCGTCTACAACATCCTCAACGACTTCAAGCCTGTACAGGTGAGCAGCAACGGCCTGTTCTGCGCCATCGTCCTCCTCTTCCTCATGCTCCTCTTCGTCATCTTGTCCATCGCCGCGTGCAAGTGGAGGATGAGCAAGTTCCTGGGCTTACTCATGTTCCTGCTCTACATCGTTTTCCTTGTCGTCAGCGTCATGCTGGAGGATAAAATCATCGTCTGCCCCGTCAGCGTCTGAGAGCCGGCGCTGCTTTTTTGATTTCAAGGAAAAGCAGAAAAAAAAATCATGGTGCTCACGTGCACCATGATTTACTGTAGGAGAGGAAAAACATGCTCGCATGGACACAAACTGTCTCTCACATGTCTCACATACATACAAAGTAGAAGCACACACACATGCACCCGCACACTCAGGATCAAGTAAAGGATGAAAGAATCGCACACACACACACACACACACACACACACACACACACGTAGACACATACACACACACACACACACGTAGACACATACACACACACACACACACGTTTTGGACAGAGGCACTGACTTAAATCATTGCTGCAAATTCAGACCAGCGAATCACAGCCGTGCAGCACTGGCTCTCGAGCCTGTTTGTCACTAACGGACTTCATGCCACCCCACCGGACGGACTCCTCTGTCTTTGCACCTCGGGACGACATTCAGCAGACACTATCGATTGAAAGCTGCTGCGAGCAACTGAAGGAAAGGTCGTTTAAAACGGCACCGGGGGTAAAAAAAAAAAATGTATCTGAAAAGCACCAGAGATTGTTGTTTTTTTTCAGTCAAGGGCTGTGCGGCAGTATTAGATGTACCTCCTCATGCAGGTGCATACGTTGAACATGGGTGTCAAAGAGACTTTATTTTTTTGTGTTTTAAGAGCGATCCTGTATTTCATGGGAACAAAAGAGAAAGGGCAACACATGAGTGAAATAGCTGTTTATAAAACCCTTTAGATTTGAACCGTGTTCATCCCACCGCCTGTCTCTGGCTTTGCATCATAACGAGGAATAACCTCCATGACTAGACTCTACATTTGGATACAGAACCTGACTATTCATCTGTCCAGTGAATATTGTCCACCCGTTTTGCTGCAGGCTTTGGTTTTATGCAGGGAAAATAAAATACGGAGACCAAACACAGCCGTCTAATCCTGGAACACTGCATTTAGATGCAGCTGACCGTCCGGTCTATGATGTCGTCTGTCAAATCCAACTCATAACTCGCCTCCCGAAGTTGCAAGTCAGACTGTTAGCAATGACTTAAACACAGCAAAGGAGGTCTCGTCTAGATGTCCTTTATCGACCCCGCTTGGTATATTTAAGCCCCGGAAAAGTTGCCTGCCGCTCGCAGAAGCTGTAAGCTGACGGGTTGATCCAGTGAGAAGAACCTCAGAGATTCAAAATTGCTTTATATCTAATTCACAAGTTTCTGCTATAGAATACACATGCTGAATAGTTACGGTAGGTAGCACAGAGGTACAGTGGGCCAAAAATGAATTGGCAAAGCTGTTGTCATGCTCAGTGCTTGTTCTTATGATCCTAATCCAAGCCTGTGAGCATGACTCCTCCAGATGCGTTCGCCTTTAAATGCACCACTCTGAGAGCGATTACTTCGTTATCCCGACTAAAACTAGGCGATTTTTTGGCCCTTTGAGACGTGAGTCAGTGTCGCACAGAGACGTGGTCTTCATTGTGTTTGAATTGTGGTGTTTTTTCCTAATTTACAAAAAAAAAAAAAAGGAGTGCTCAATATCAGGAAGTTAAGATTGCTTTCTTCTGTCATGTGTTGATGTTAAAAAAAAACCCACACCATCTACTGTATGAACATGCACAGGGCTCAGACTACAAGAGTCTTTGATCCCCCGCTCCTGACATCCGGAGCAGAAACCAGGTCTGGGACTTCTGATGATGTGAGAGCCCACACGCTCCTCTCAGCCATCCTGATCGTTGAGGAAAACGATCAGATTTGATCATTTTTTATCTACTGAGGGCCCGATCTCTCAGAGACGCGTCACTAGAAAAGCGTCGCCAGTAAACGCATCGTTTTCCTCTGGTCCTCTGGTGCTTTCTTTCTCTGCTGCTAGCGGTGTCACTTTTGGTCAAAGTAGCCAATCAAACCAAGATGGATGCTTTATTCATCAACTCCTCATCTAGGAGCAAAGCAAAGACAAGAGCTTTATGTTAAATTTTTCCCCACTTATTTTATTTGGTGGCTCGTATGCTCATGCATCCCGCTCCAAAGGCACTCAGGCGTTTTTGGAGTGGCTGAGCCAAAGGGCGACACGTGATCGGGCAATAAGGTTGTCAGAATGTTCTAAAATGTTACAATCTCTTTTAGTTTAATAATACATCACATTTAAAAGTAGCGTGGCTTCGTGGTAACAATATAATTTGATTTTTCTTCAGTTCTGGTATCGTGACAGCCCTGATATCCTCTCCAGTTGTGGCTGAAGAATAGACGACCTGTATCCCTGTTTGATTTGAAATCTTGCTGCAGTATTTCTACAGCGGGTTGCTGCACCTCATCAGTCTCTGCTTTGTTTACATCTGCGTCTCCATCAGATCAGACGTGATGCTCTTCTCATGATCCGCTGTGGTGCAGGGTTTATTTAGCGTGCATGTTTGAGACATCGGTTAAAGCTTCTTCTATTTGCATTTGGTGGACACATTTCAGATTTAGCACCTCCTGTAGTCTGCGCCAGCCTGAAGGGTCGAATCTTAAATTAGCCCGTACCTTTTATTTTCATACTAAAGGAACATTTGCAGAGAAAGCTTATATACTGAAGTGGTCACAGAAAGATTACAGAGACAACAAAGAAGCCTGTTTCTATACCATTATTGCATTTTCACTTTGATTTTGCGAAGATATCGTTTTGATTTAATTTTAAGGTGCTTTCTTTTCTTTCCTTTCTTTCTGTGAGTAAAGTCAAACCGTACTTAAAGTAAGGCAGAAGGAAACTTATGAATAGACGTGAGGCAGATGTTGTGGTGACTCATTTAGGGCCTCTCTTTGTTCAACCAGCTCAGCTCGAAGTTATCCACCTGGTCTCCATCAGATCAACTGCCCAATGCAAGCTGATGTGCATGTAGCTACAGCGCATGTCACACATAAATGTTCAACACTTTGAGGACAATCTCCCCCACTTTATTTATTTATTTTTTTTACCTCACTTTGTGTTTCTTTCTGTTTCTATTGTTAAAGTAATACTTGTGACCACCCCAAAAATGCACTAATGCAAACAGGTTTAAAGGAAGAATGTGCAACTTTTTAATCTAGTAGATGTCGCCCTTGAGCACCAGCATGAAACCAAAACAAACTGCTGTTTGGCCACACCTCCTCCATACTGAAGCCTCCGCCCTCCTCCAGCGACACACCTCCAACCCCCCTCCACTCGAGTTCACACAAAGGAGTTTAGCGCAAATTGTCCTTTGCTCGAGCTGCAATCACCTGTGTCCTGCGTTGTTGTGTTAGCGTGCTAATGTTAGCACTCTTTAGTTAGCTCGTAGCTTCACATTTCATAAATTAACACAGAATGATCGTGATCTAAAAACTCTTACTAACATCCAAATAATCAGTGAGTATATTTTCTTCTTCTCTCTAGTCCTTGACTAAAACAACTTTTATACACAAGGGGAGGAGCCGGCCGTCCCGTCCATGTAAACACGGCTCTGACAACAACACAGCCAGCGGGGACTCGAGCTTCTCACTCATTGTAGACAGTCATGACTCAGAGACACATTTACACAGGATACACTGATTTATGATTTATTTATGTGTAACATGTCGCACATTCTGCCTTTAAAAATGTTTATACCGAGCATCCGTTAATTTGATTTAACTTTGTTTTCCTGTGATATCGAGTACATTTTGGTGAATTTTCTCGACTGATTGTTGTTGTTGCCTCGGGGTTACGACACATTGGTAACTGATTCATTTTATCCGATCTCAAGTGAGTGAACTAGTTAGCACGGAAAGCAAGCATCACTATCTGGAGAAAATGAGATAAATGAGTTGAGATGACGAGAAAACAAACGGAAATGTTTTCATTCTCACATGAAAACAGTAAAATAAAATATATGGGGCTTCACAGTAACACTCATTCTCACTCCGGTACAAATTAAAATGTGTGTTTCTTTTTATTTCCTTTCTTTTTGGAATGAATGGATCAGATTTTCCTGTTCAGATTCTTGTGAAAATATTAGATCAAAGCCCATCAAAGGGTTCAAAATCATATTTTTGTGTGTGTCACTACAGCATCGTAACCCAAACCGCTTTTTAAAAACCTTCTCATGAGTTCTAACATTTTTGTTTAAAATGTGGTGACCCAAACTGTTCCCCATGTTGCGATGTTAAAGAAACAATGTGTTTTATTGTGCGTTTTTGTGTAAAAAGATTTGTAAGCTGTATATAAACTCCTGTATGTATTCATAGTCGACACTTAGAGTACAAGCCACAACATTTCTCCTAATGTCAGACTCCAGGTGTAGCCTGTTGATGCTGTGTCATTTCTAAATCTGTCTCTCTGTCATGGATCCTGTGAGTGTGAGGGATGTGTGCATGAGTGAGTGCATTTATAGATCCATTTATAAAAATCCATCCTCGACCCGTTTGAATACCACGACAGATGGTCCAATGCTTTTTGTATTTCCCTTGTATGTTATGCAAGTATGGAATCATATTCATGTGCTACTTGAATCGTGTATTATACTGTAAAAAAAACATATATCATTACACTGTATAAATGGTTATATGATCAAATAATAAAAAATGGAAATTTTCACTGTTGGTTTTTTTGAGTTACCCGACGCACCCAACAGACTGATCAGAGATGCACATCACCGTACACACTCAGCCCTACCTTATTGTTAAGACCACACCTACTGGAGATTCTAGACTCCATTAGGACCCGAGGCAAAAATTCAATAGGGACACCTCAAACCAGCGTTCAACACCATCATGTCTGTTGGGCCACAGGTTTGACTTTAAAGTTTGTCACTCCCTCAGGGAACCTTCTACTGGTCCGGGGCCCCGAGCGGTTGCCCGCCTTGCCTGTTGACCAGCAGTGTTCCTCCTTCAATACTTTTTCGATACACACACATTTAATTGCACATATACTTTGGTAACGCTTCGGTACCCAAACATTTCCAACGTATTTGTGCAGTCAAGACAGTGTGCAGGGGGTCGCCAGCACATTTTGGTAATTAAAAAACAGAATTTACCCAATTTACCTGGGTGCATAGGGCTCCTATTTTTGTTGCTGGGTTTTCGAAACATGTAACATTATTGCAGAATATTTGATTAAGGAATACTATGACTCTCAGGATACACCTGTTCAAGGAATAATTGGTTGGTAAGGAGAAAGAAGCACAGACATGGGCCTCCAGTCCAACAATTTATTTGTATGGTTTCAGCTGGTTTTATTTTTAAGCACACAGTTAAAGGAGAAATATGTAACTCTAACACCTAGTGTTTAAAATGGGTACTGCAGTCCAGATTCTAAACATTGTAGAGAGTTCCCCCCCCCCCCCGCCCCCTCCTCTCTAGAGTCGAAGCTCACGCAGGTTGCCATGTGGTGGACACTGAAGCTTCAGTGTTTAGCCAGCTCTGCATCGGTCTGTAAACCTTTCTGTGTTCTAACCTCTCTCCATTTTTCAAAAAGCATCTCCAATATTGATCCTAGTTTGAGCACGTTTCTGCTCGTGGAGCTTATTAGAAACATGCAGAGGCTTTTTAGGTCGGGTACAATCACTTCTATCTGAACCAGTTCTCTTGCCCGCTTCCATCGCTGCAACACCTGTTGGTTTGACCTGATAACTGCTCTCATATCTGACAAACCGAGGGGCGTCCAAAACGGCCGTGTGGGGGGTGTCTTAAAACCGCCTACCTTCTCTGGTCCAAACAAATCCAGAGCATTCAGGACCAGAATCTAAAGTTAGAAGGAGGACATACTGGCTGCTGCATTGTTGTCAGAGACAGTCAACATAGCATGTTTCCTTAATGTCTGATCATATAGTAAGCTCACTTTATCATTTCACTCACTACACATCTCACTGATTGGACCTTTAACACTATAAGTAGTGATGAGGCATCCAGATGAAGTCAGGTCTCCAAGCTCCATTGTTCCCCAAAAAATTGCAAGGGCTGGCTGCCCTCATTGGATCAGCAGTGTCCTTCTTTTCCATCACTGTGACTACAGGGAGACACTGAGGAGGATTATCTACGGTGCACCTAAAGGGACAAAATAGCATGAGATTAGTCACGATTAAAATAATCCATGCATTAATTTCAGACCTAATAATGATTAACTAGTTAATGCTGACAGCTCTCATTCATATAGTTCCAACTCTAGTCCCTAGTTGGATTAAGAGTTGGAAATGATCATCAGCTACAACCTCCCCCCATCACCTCCCAAGCTGCCTCACAGCACCAATCAGATTTGCAGTGTCATGTACCAGGATGTGATCTGCTTTACTTTGACACAAGCCTCTTACAGCCGCAGCATGCAGGGCGCGCTGCCAGGGACGGTGTGATGCAACAGGGATTCACTGGATGCCAGAGGATAATAAAGGACGGACTCACCTCTCTCTGTTTCTATACACATTTCTGAATCGACACAACACCACACTGCCAATAAAACCGAAAAAGAAGCCCAATTGTTCAAGGACCAAAAGGACAACAAGGGCATTTTTCCAGGAAGGAAGGAATGTGCATGTGAAATACATTGATATAATTAACAGTAATTTGACCCCACTAGTAGGCTGAGCTGTTGCTTTCATTATCATTATCTTTAAAGCTTAAGGGAGAAAACGTTTTAGAAGGTACGATCTTAATTTGTGGCAAAGCATTGATGCAAACAAAACAAACACAACATGCAACTGCATGTGAATGAATGTTATTGAATAAGTTAGACTATGTAGGACACCACAGAGAAAGAGAGAGCGGGGAGTGGATGTGTTTCCCCCAGCCAATGACAGCACAGCAGGTGAGTTTGGGAGTGGATACAATTCAGCGATTGGGCGATTGGCTTTTTTGGTATCAAAAGCTCATTTCTTTATTCATACGCTGTGTGACAGGTGAATGCCCACCTCGGCTCCACCTCTTTGCCGTCTTTTTAGATTGGTTGCAGGTTAGGCTGAGATAGCATTGAGATTACTTTTCATGCCTATATTTGAGAGGACAGTAGAAAGAGTAGGAAAGCAGGGAGAGCGAGAGAGAGTGGGGAATGATGTGCAGGAAAGGAGCCACATGTTTGAAACAAACTCGGGCCGTCCGGTTTAGGGACCATAGCCTCTGTACATGGGGCCCAACCTAACTGCTAGGCCAGTGGTGCTTTCATGATAGCATTTTAAGTAAGGCAACCACCACGTTTGGCTTCAAAACAACTCTCAGAAACGAATATGTGACATCACTGAGATGTCCTCCATGTTTGACCCAGTCTATGTTTCAGGCCTTTTTCAGCCACAGATGCAGGTTTTGTTTCTTTTTTTTGCTACAGAATTTAACTGATTGCTGTTAGAGAATGGGAATGTACATTAGGTGTTTAGATACCTGAACTAAAAGTTGAAAAAGGGTTTTCGCTTTCCAGACCACATGTCACATGTTCACTGCAGAGATGACGGAAGTACTTACAGCAGTATTACTAACAACCAGAGGATTGAAGTCCAAGTCCAGACGTGACTTACTTTCAGAAATATACCAAATTTTTTCCAGACTTCCAGAGAGCAGTGTGTGAGGTAACTGTGCAAAGAACGCGACACAGGAGGAAAATAAATAAATCAACGCTCTGTCAGAGAAATCATAAATAGGCTAAGTCAGTAAAAGAAAGGTGGCAAAAAAAACATGGGAAAAAGAAAGAAAGAGGAGGTCTTATGTTGCAATTCAGAGCAATGTAAAAAGATTCAGTCATCATTATAACCAGGCTGAGACATGGGCATTGTGGGCTGGCTCTGATTGGGAAAGACCCTGATGGTGGAGTGTTGAAACAGTGGGACACATCCTCACCCTGTGCAGGATTTATTCTCTCCAAAGGAGGACGCTGTGCAGAGATCTTGGAATATGCACTCTTTATTAAACCTGCATAACTGGACTCAAATGAAGAGACTACTGGAGTATCTGCAGATTGAGGGTCTAAAAACATATAAGTGTCAAAGATAGGGACACCGAACAGTAGAAGGCAGCAGTGCGCCGTCGATGCGTCTTGCCAGCTTAAACCAAAGAAGAAGAAGAAGCCGGAAGCATGCAGCTTTGTCAGTTTTGTAACAACAGACTACCGCTGCACTTTGTATGGAGCAAACACAGATTGCATCTTTGGTTATGAGCTGATGTCTGTGTGAGACGGTACCATGGAGCCGTCAGAGTCAGGGGAGCTGGATGCTCCCGGTCCCGGCCTAGAACAGAGTCCCAAACCCGAGCTGTCTGCAGCGATGCGGGCTAAGATCGAGAGAAACCGGCAGCAAGCGTTGATGCTCCGGCAGGCGAGACTAGCGAGCCGCTCTTTGTCCGCCGTGGAGGGAGCAACCTCGGCCAAAGTGTCCAAGACCATCGACTCCGGCGCCGGCTTCTTCATCGACGAGGAGGAGGAAGCTCTGGAGGAGCAGAGGACCAGAAAGGTGGTGCATCAGCCAGGTGAGTGTGTGTAGGCTGTGTGTGTGTGTGTGTGTGTATGTTACCCGACTGACGTGTGTTCACGTTTGTGTGTGTGTGTGTGTGTTTTTTCTTTCCAGCTCCAGTGATTGAGCCAGACTACCTGGTTTGTGATGAATGTGAAAAACCCTTCATGGACTCATATCTGAGCAACAGCTTTGACCTGAGTGTCTGTGACAAGTGCAGGTACACACACACAAACACACACACACACACCCAACTGAGCACACACACACACACACACACACACACACACACACACCACCAACACATACACCACGGTAGAAGTCATGTTGAGGTCTGGTCACACTCCATCCATGTGACCCTGTAGTTATTAATCATATTATTATATATTTCTGGCTTTGTGAAATACTTGATTCTGATTGGCCAACTTCACATTCTCTCTCCCTGGTTTTCTATTATATCCGTTATCGAAATAAAAGCATAAAAGCCCGAAAATACATCTTTAAAAAGTAAGAGTGATGATGTGATCCTAAAGGATTTCCAGATTCACATCATTCTTATCAAAATGTTCCTTCTTTGAGGCCCCGTAAATACAGTGTTTTTAAATTAAATGACTGTTAATGAATGTTACGGCTTAAAGGCGTAGGTCTGTTTTTGCTTCAGGGATAACGAGGAGAAACACAAGCTGGTCTCCAGAACTGAGGCCAAGGCGCACTACCTGCTGAAGGACTGTGACCTGGACAAGAGAGAGCCCCCCCTCAGGTTCATACTGAAGAAAAACCCTCACAACCCGCGCTGGGGAGACATGAAGCTCTACCTCAAAGTACAGGTACAGACAGCTGGAGGACAGGAGCTATGAAAACCTGTGTGTGTGTGTGTGTGTGTCAGAGGCAGGAGGAGAAACTCCGGAGAATTTCAGAGAGAAACATTCAGCTGTTTGTGTTCACACATAATAATAATAATAATAATCTTTATTTATAGAGCACTTTTCAAAAACAAGTTACAAAGTGCTTTACATGGACAGCAAATATAAAAACAGGCAGGTCATAGAATAATAAACAAGGCAAGATTAAGGAATAAATATCACTTTAAGATATAAAATCCATTTTAAAAGAGCTGTAAAATACATTCTTTTAAAGGAATTCTAAAAAGTGAAAATAGTAACAATTTAAAATCAACAAAATCAGGAAAGGTTCGCCGGAAAAAGTGTGTCTTAAGAAGGGACACATGCAGCTCCTCCTGCAAACCTCAGGAGTTTTGAATGATGTTTGTGCAGGTGTGAACAAGGCTTTATTGTGGAAAACACATGTAGAGAAACTACTAAGGAGAAAAGGTTGCCTCTATATGATTGGTTATCATTTGTTTGTCTTCTCTGATGATTTGAGCTTTTGCAGCCTTTATCTGTTTTGACAGTTCCTCTTGTAGATGTATCCATTAAATGTTAAAGTATTTGTCGACAAAAAGAGTCAGTAACATTGTAGGTGTGTTTCTTTGGGTACGCAGGTGGAGAAGAGATGTATGGAGGTGTGGGGTTCAGAGGAGGCTCTGGAGGAGGCCAGAGAGACAAGGGAGGAGAACAAAGAGGTGCAAAAACAAAAACGCTTCAACAAGAAGTCAAAGTCGGTGATAACATCAAACCTTATTCGTCAACATTCAGATGTGGGAGTTAAATC